AGTGGCACCACTACTCAGGTAGGACCAACCTTTTCTTCTCACTGCCTTCTTCCCTGTACTTGCTCAGATGAATGACTGACAGTGGAGAATTGGTACCTTTCAAAAAAATATGTGGGAACACGTTGTACACGCACCTGGGAACAGGCCTGAGGTGGGGTGTTATGTAGAGATGCCCTGGAGGAGCTTATGGCCTGTGACAAACAGACAGGAAGTGTCTGCTTGATCTGAAAGGGTCTCTGAAAGGGCCTTGCCCATATGCCCAGGAGCCCCAGGGAAGGCTTCAGCGCCTAGTCTGCCAGAGTCAGAGTTACCTGGTGAAACCAAAGATGAAGTTCTGTGGATTATCCAGAGAAGATGGATCCCACCTAGAACCCAGAGATGGGGCAGGACCAGTAGGAAGAAGATCAGAGGAGAGTGGAGTCCCAGAGACCAGGGAAGAGAGTAGTCAGCAGTCCCAACTGCTACAGAGGACCCTAGGGTTGCGATGTCAAGGATTGGTATGTATCGTGTTAGCCAGAGTACAGAATCAAAGACGGTGGTTAATGAGGAAGTCAAAACAACACCCAGATGCTTTGCCAAAAAGCTCAGCTAAGAGTCTGGGGGGAGGACGTGGGCCAACAGCTTATAGGGGTTTGGTGTGAGGGCTGAGACAGCAAAACCATGGATGAAGGCAAAGGAGGTGAGAGAGGAGGCATGGTGGTCAGGTAGAATAGGAGACCCTGAGATGGGAGAAAGATGAGGTTAGGTGTATCTGCAGAGACATTAGTATACAGGATGAGGGCACTTGGAATCATTTGGCTGATAATCTCAGTGAAGCCAGAGGAGAAGTACTCTGTTAGTCAGGGAGGGCAGATAGAGCTGTGGGAACCATGAAAGTAGTAATTAGCAGCCCGGGGTGTGGAATTTCTAGTGGCCCCAGTCCTGTTCTGATATGTGGATTTTGTCATTGTTTAGAACACAGCTGCTGAGCATGGAAGTGGAGTGAGGTAGAGTGAAACTGCTTAACTGAAAGACTGCTTATGGGGTCAGAGAGGGCACAAGGATATGGCAGTGACCATGACGAGACAGTCCCGACTGCCCTTAGGAGCATATCACATTTTGGTAGAGGAAGCAGACATGTACATTATTAGTGCACTGCAGCTTAGAATGAGCACTGAGAAAGAAGGCAATGAGAGAGTTGTTTTCAAAGAACAGTGGAGTGAGGATGGGACAGGGCTAAGAAACGGTAGAGTTGTCAGAGGTGGACCCAGGGGCACTGAGGCCTAGAGATGATGTGAGTCACACAACAACAAGGTTTAGAGTCTTGTGTGGGGCTGTGAAGTCATCATGTTGGCCCAGAGAAGTGATATGGAGAAAAGAGCAACCATGTGGGTTCTGCCTCTCTTGGGTGTGCTCACTCAAACTCGTTACCTCCACTACAAACAAATACAGTGGTCAGTCCTCATTCCGCATCTGGCTTCAACCAGGAACCTTCAGAGTGCTGATCCTCTTTCCTCCCTTCCCCTCCTCTCCCCTTCTCTCCCCTTCCCTCCCCTCCTCTCCCCTCCTCTCCGGTTGTGCCTCATCATTGCCCCAGCCTGTCAACTTTGGCATATCCAGGGTGCTCTCATCTAATTTCATGGTCCTAAATCCCATTTCTAATTCTGATAGTCCCCAAGTTGCTAGTTACTCCTTGTACCTACTTGCCATCTCTACCAGCAAGTTGCCAGGAAAGTTTTTCTAAGAGAAATGTCATACTCAACATATTCCAAACTGAGTTCTCAACCTTTACCCAAAATTTGTTTCTCTTCCAGTCTCACTATCACTGTCCTTCCAGTTACTCAGGCTCCAAACCTCAGAGTTTTCCTTGACACCCTCCCTCCCCCCAACACACACACACACACACACACCTCTTTCTCTTACATCTACATCTCCTACGTCAGTAAGTCCTGTCTGCACTACCTTTAAAATCTTTAGCCCATGAGAAATCCATTAAATAACTCATAATATACATGTATTTGATTCTGAATGGTCCGGTAAAATAATGTGTAATATTTGTATCAATATACTGTATATAAAAATATACTTGTGCAAAATATAATTCTCCAGTATTTTTAATTTTATGTGAGACAAAAGAATGAGGGGTGGGTGTTTATGATAGATTGGGTTTGAGTAAGCCACAGTATAACCTGCAGAGCCAAAACACTCCATAAGCTTCCGTGGAACTGCTCCTGTAGCCAACAAGTCCTGCAGAAAAGGAACCGCAGACCCTTTAGAAAAAATGTTTGGTCTGTAGGGTTCACCAGGCATTTAAATCCAGAGTCTGTGCTTGTGCCCAGGGTAGTGAAGGAAGGCAATGGGAAGGTTTTGACTCCAGAAGGGGTGATCCTTACTTACTCTGCTATTTGGGACCAGGTGAGGCTTCAAGCTCTGAGGAAGAGCCTCCATTTCCAGAGGATAAAGAAAACCAGGCCCCAAAACGGACTGGTCCACATCTGCGCTTCGAGATCAGCAGTGAGGATGGGTTCAGCGTGGAGGCAGAAAGCTTGGAAGGTGAGTTAGAATGAATGGTGACAGGGAGGGAGAATGTGTCATAGAATACCATCCTGACTCTGCTGTGGCCCTGCCCTCTCAGGGGCGTGGAGAACTCTGATTGAGAAGGTGCAAGAGGCCCGAGGGCATGCCCGGCTAAGACATCTCTCCTTTAGTGGTAAGTGGGGATCCACAGGGACTCTGAGGGCTGGGATCACGTCCGGAGAGCAAGATGGGTCACTGACATGACTTGTGCATTCTCACCTTTGACTTCCCTCAGGAATGAGTGGAGCAAGGCTCCTTGGTATCCATCATGATGCTGTCATCTTCCTGGCAGAGCAGCTGCCTGGGGCCCAGCACTGCCAGCACTATAAGTTCCGCTACCACCAGCAGGGAGAAGGCCAGGAGGAGCCACCCCTGAATCCCCATGGGGCAGCCCGTGCCGAGGTCTATCTCCGGTGAGAGGTCTGGGGTGTGATGTGTGGGTTGGGGGAACCCTATGGGCAGACTTGAGGGTGGGAATTAAGTCTGTTCAGATTGGAAACTGAGACCTGGCAGAAGACACTAGGCAATAATTCCAGGAATTATTTCTAGGGGTCGTATCAGAATGAACCTCATTCATTCCCCTTTTGCTTTGTCTTCAATAATAGTTGTATTACTCTTACTCTGCCAGCAGTGATACAGGCCAGGAATTGGAGGGTAGCATCTAGAAGGAATGGCTCTGTACCTCCCTCCATTTTTCTCTTCTACCTACAGGAAATGCACCTTTGACATGTTCAACTTCCTGGCCTCCCAGCACAGAGTGCTCCCTGAGGGAGCCACTTGTGATGAGGAAGAGGATGAGGTACAGCTCAGGTCAACCAGGTATGGAGGGCAGGCCAGGGTGCTGGGGTGGTCTGGAAGGGTCTTACAGAGGGTGACCAGGGGCAAAACATATCATTTCTGGGTGATACTATTGTCCCCCACTAGACGTGCCACCAGCCTGGAGCTGCCCATGGCCATGCGCTTTCGCCACCTCAAAAAGACATCCAAAGAGGCTGTAGGTGTCTACAGGTTAGTGGGGTTGGGGGGAGGATGCCCCTTGGGTGGATGACAGGTGCCCTGGTGTGGGGCTGCCCTGATTTTATCCCCCTGCCCCCTGAGCTCCCCTTGCCCATCCTACCCTGCAGATCTGCCATCCATGGGCGGGGCCTGTTCTGTAAGCGCAACATCGATGCTGGCGAGATGGTCATTGAGTACTCTGGTATTGTCATTCGCTCTGTGCTGACTGACAAGCGGGAGAAGTTCTACGATGGGAAGGTGGGCTCTGCCAGGTCATGGGAATGAGGTGGGAGAAGCAGGGTCTTCCATGGGAACAGAGCATCTAACTGCCCCTACCTTGTCCCTGTAGGGTATTGGGTGCTACATGTTCCGCATGGATGACTTTGACGTGGTGGATGCCACAATGCATGGCAATGCCGCCCGCTTCATCAACCACTCCTGTGAGCCCAACTGCTTCTCTCGAGTCATCCACGTGGAGGGCCAGAAGCACATCGTCATCTTTGCCCTGCGCCGCATCCTGCGTGGTGAGGAACTCACCTATGACTACAAGTTCCCCATTGAGGATGCCAGCAACAAGCTGCCCTGCAACTGTGGCGCCAAGCGCTGCCGTCGGTTCCTTAACTGAAGCTGTGGTTGCCCACACCTCCTGCTGCCATCTTCCCCCTGGTCTGGGGGCTCCCTAGTCCCCCCAGAGCATCTCACCCCCACCCTCATGTCCAAGGTGAATGTGGGCATGCAGGTGGCAAGGGCCCTGCCCCTACCCCTCCAGCCCACTCAGCAATTGCCCCCTTCTTGCCCTGGGGGCCCAGAATGTAGATATTGTACAAAGGTTTCTAAATCCCTTCTTTTCTATGCACTTTTTTATTTAAGAGGTGGGATCCCAGGTGGGAACCTCCCCAATAAAGTCTGTCAATGTTTGGAGAGGTGGTCTTAGTTTGTATAGTGCTGGAGGCATGTAGAAGCTCCCATTTCTCTGTGCCCCACACCTATTCTGAACCAAGGAAGCCCATCAGCCTCAACAGGCAATGGTTCAGAATTAGTACTGTGTTTCCCCAAAAATAAGACATCCTCCGAAAATAAGACCTAGCGCCTGGAAAAATAAGACATCCCCTGAAAATAAGACATAGCGCATCTTTGGGAGCAAAAATTAATATATTTTATTTTCGGGGAAACGGTAGTAAATTGGGTCTGTCAGGGCTTCAGAGCAACAAATGTCTTACATATTGTAAGTTAGAACCCAGCTGGATGCCTGTGGATCTTTCTTGGGTAGCAGTTCTCCTCAAGAGGGGACCCTGGTTGCCCAAAAGCACCGAGACCAGCTCTCCCACATCTGGTCTTGTGATAGGATGGGCCCTTTTCTGGGTGCGGGATGAGAATATCTGCTGGGTCTTGGCCCAATTAAGACTATTTCAAGAGGACTCCTAATGAGTCCAGGAGACAGCAGGCACTTAATTTCAAGGGAAACTTTATTGAGTACTAGGCTGGGCGAGCCCCAGATGAGGCAAGTTTGGACAGCACCTGCAGAGCATCTGCCCGCCCTAGCTGGGCCAGATATGTGCCAAGCTGGTCCAGAGAAGCGGAGGGCTCCCTTGCCACCACCATCTCAATCAGGGCACGCAGAGGCGAGTGACTAGGTCGCAGTGAGTAGGCAAAGGTGGACCAGGAAGCAGGCAGTCCATATTTTGCAGCCAGGTGTCGAGTGGTACCACAGGCCAAAGCCCCACCAGGCCCAGGCTCAGGGTCCAGCAGCACAATCAGCTCCTCCAGCACCTCCAACTCATCCAGAAGGCGAGATAGGGGCTGTGATGCCAGATTTGGCAGCTCTGGGAAACAGAGGGAGGGATAAGGGGGAGGAAGGTTGGGCTTGCAGCCCATATTCCCCTTGACATGTCTGGGACTAACCCCCGCACCAGGAGTGGGAGCACAGAAACCCATGATCACCTGCCTCCGATGCCACCAGAGAGCCTTGAGAGGTGTTGAAGCCAGGACAGGGGTAATAGGGACTGTGCCTTTGCAGGGTAAACAGGAGGATGGCTGCTGAGGTCACAAGCAGAACCAGCACCAGGGGCAGGGCAAAAGTCAGCAGGGCCTGCTGAGGGACGGTGTATTCAGATGTTCGAGAGGGGCTGGAAATGGCTGGTGAGCTGGTCTCCTGGGAGCTTGGGACGCTGGGTGTTTCAAACTTCAGGGGACAGGGCTCCTTGGGAGGGGCAGGCTTCTGAGAATAGGAGTAGAGCTGGAGGTAAACCCCGCTCCTGTCCCCTCAGCCCAAATCTTTCATCCTTGTAAGCCACATCCCCACCTGACCCAGACCCCCAGTACTTTAACTGTAGCTGGTCACTCCCAGATACAATGTCCCCACCCCTGTCCTCTTCAGTGGGGCTAGGTACTCCACCACCTTTGATCCAGACCCCACCCACCCAATCCCAAACCACGCCCTCTACATCCCACCCCACTTCTGGCAGGCTACACCTTTGCCCATGCAGTCTGAGCCAGACCAGCACCTCTTCACAGCGCTGCCGGCTTCTCTCGGGAGTGGAGGCCCTGGTTCTGCTGCCACAGAAGCCACATAGCTCTGCGAAGTCCAGATTGCACTTCCCAGAAGGACACTTTTTGAAGGGATGCATTACGTGATCACCAAAGTCATTGAGCCCGCAGTTTTCTGAAAACTCATAGTCTAGTGGGAGACAGGATCTTGTAAGTGGCTTCCAAGCCCCACCTCTAAAAGATCCTTTCCTTTTTGTCCTATCCTAGCAGGCCTCGCCCGTTGGACTTTATCCGCCCATCAGCAGACATGCTCACCCCTTCCATTCTCCCTTCCCCAAACTAGCCCTGCTAGACTCAAAAGGCTCCTTACCCTTCATGCCCCTCCCGCTTCCACATCAAGCTCTGCCCATGCTGGGATTGATCTCTCACCCCCTTCTCACTGCCTGGATCCTGCTTCTAACCTTTCTCACAGGCTTAACTCCCATAACTGCCTTATCTGATTAAGGCGCACTGCACCTACCTAGAAGCAAGCCCCCAAACCTTGTTCCTTCACAGGATTTCCATCACCCCCTCAGTCAGCCTGAACATATTTGCATAGGTGTATGTAGGTATACGCCGTCTCTGCTCCTCACCGGGGCACGGGGGAGGCCCAAAGCGCTGTAGGCAGCTGCCACAGCACTGGTTGTCTGGGTTCCAGTACTCAAGGCGGCTACAGTGTTGAGAGGCTTCATGCGGCACTGCCTGGGCCAGGAATAGCGCAGCAGACAAGAGGTGCTGGGGCCTCATCCCAGCGGCGCATGCAGAGTGCAGGACTTCCGGCCACAGCGCCTTTGCCAATTTCCCAGGAAAACATGGAGAAGAAGGAAACAGTGGATGTGGAGGCATAGGATGAGAATCTACATACACCCAGCTCCCAGTCCTCAGTCCAGCTTCTGACCCATTATCAGAAGCCACAAGGCCTCAGGATTGCTAGAGCAAGGGCTCTGAAGCCAGACCTTGTGGATTCATATCCCACATCTGCCATGTTCCATCTGTCTCATAGGAGTATTGTGGAGAATTAAAACTTACTAGATTAAACTATAATTGAAAAATAACAAGTGATTAAAAAAAAAAAAAAGAAACAACACCCTTATTAGAAGTAAAGCTCTTAGGTAGCACCTGGTAGATGGTAAGCTTAAATATTAGGCATTACTGACTCCCAATCAAGGATGGAGGACCCAGCCCTCATCTACTGAAGACTCCCACTCAATTCCAAGTGACCTTACCTTAGATCCCAACCCCAATCTCCTCTGAGTTGGGAATCCTCCAATCTGCCACAACTAGGTGTCTTCCCTTTGAAAAGCCTCAGATGGATGTGGTGGTTTCCAGCTCAAAGGCGCTTCACCAGTCCCACTTGGGGGTTTCTAGGGTGTTGAGCTCTGAGTCCAATTTCCACTTGTTTGAAGTTCTTCAGCTGCAGTTGTGGCTAGAGCCCAACCTACTTCCCCTTTTCATCGGATGTGGGGGTGGAAGGAAACTCCAGCCCGCAGCTAGACTTGACTCAAGCTCAAAATACAGAACTTTATTCAGGGAGGAGTGGCAGACCCTAGAGGCTGGGAAAGATGGCTCTGGGGAGTTAAGGGAGCTTTGAGGGGTCCTAGCCAGGAGCATCTCTACCTGTTAGAGGTGAAAGGCAAGAGGGTCAGGATCTCAGAAGTGGCCCTGCTGGTGGTCTGGGGAATGTCCTTCTTTGGGACCTTGGGGTGACCTGGGGACAGGGGGGTGGGGGGGAGGCTTTAGAAGCATGGGGCAGAGCAGGTGATGAAGTAACTAGTGTTCCTGAGAGTGGTCTAGGATAGGTGCTCAGGAGCTGACCTCAGGATTAGAGATCCAAGCTGATCTTGGGTTTGGGATTCAGGATGGTTTGGGGTTGGGACTTAGGTGCTGATCTTAGAATGGGCTCAGTACTAGTTCTAGGATACCAAAGACTTGAGATATTGTTATCAAGACATAGGATCAGGTTCATCTCAGGTTATAGGAGCTTTAGAGTATGAGAAGTCTTGGCAAGCTGGTCCTGAGATACCTGAGCCTGGGTTCCCACCAATAGAGCTGCTGCCAGAAGTTCCAGGGGGCAGGTCGCAGATGCATGAAGTTGCAAAAGCTACCTCTGGGTTGAGGATGGATGGATGGATGGATGGAAAGGGACCAACACACACACACACAGGAGTCTGGAACTCCAGGTGCCCATCCCACCCTCTTACTGCCATACCCCATCTCATACTGCTGACAGCATGACTCCAGGAAGTCGGTGACAGGAGACATCAGCATGCAGAGTCTGCCCACTGAACCAGCGGTTACTGAGTTCAGCTACTGCCCACTCAGCATCCTCTTCATGCCGGAAGTAGGTCAGGTTTGGTAGTCAAACTCAGAAACCTCCAGGGGATTTGTAAGCAGCTCTGGGACTGGACTGCATTTATTGATGGACCTCAAACTAGGAGGCTTAAATGGTGACCTTTAGGCACTCAAATGTCTCCAACTCTGGCCTCTAATGGGGGGAAAGCAGGCACATTGACACAGACATTGCCCATAAGGTGGTCCCCCAAGTTGTCACACAAACTCATCTCTTCAGTCTCCCTGAACTTCTCCTGCAGTTCCATGATCACTCCTGCGGAGACTAGCAGGTGTTCAGCTGAACTCTTGGCACACAATTCACCCCATTTCTGGCAATCCTCACCTCAAATAAGTTATCATAATGTTCTTGCACCTCTACATCGCACACGTGACTTGGAATCAGGAGGTGGCCTGCAGAGGACAGTCCGTCCTGCCCCCAAGAAATGGTGCCTCTAGTGTGATCCGTCTGCGGTTCGGGCGGTGTTCTGTGGATTCCGGTACAGGTTGAGCAGCACCATTGTGTGAATAGGGCTTGAGCAGAGAAAGCAGGGTTATGTGCAAAGGTGTTGGGAAGAAGCCTAAGCATCTTGAGTGCATCAGCGATGCATGTCCCTAAGGAAACCAGCAGAGGGAGGACCAAGAAGTGAGAGACAACCGAGGTGTGTAGGTTAAGGAAGGAACTGGCAGAAGTCCGACTAGAAAAAAGCCGGACGGTAGGGTGGGCCTAAGAAATCCGGAAAAGGCGGGACCTCGGATGATGGACAGCAGGAGAGCGACAGCCGGGAGGCGTTAACCCTCCAGGCTGCGTGCCAAGTCTCACCAGCATGAAAGTTTGTCGTGAAGCCAGGAGCACTGATCCCCATTTCGGCAGGCCCCGATCCTAAAGTAAAAGGAGCAGTTAACCCTGGAAGAGGTGTAACGACAGAGGTAAACCGAAGGCTGAAGACCCCAGAAATACCCCTCGCCGCCCAGCAACCCCGACAGGCTATTGGCTGCACCCGTTTCCACTTGTCCTTCTCAGTCCCGAATATTGAAAAATTCAGGCATTTTTACCAGAACTCTCCAACTCGGTCGGCTCAAAGTCACTTCCGTTGCTTCAGAACATTGGGAAGTGTAGTTCTTCGCTGCCTCGGCTTGCTTAGCACGCGCTCACAAACTCCCTAATGCGCTTGCGAGTAGGAAGCCTGCGCCCTTCACAGAATCAGACATTCCCTGAGAGCGCATGCGTGCAGCGCTGCCTATTAAAAAAAGACTACAAACTCCAGAGATCCTTGCGGCATCACACGCAAACGTCCGTAAGTTGAAAGTGGCAAAGGCATCTACCCAGAGGAAGTAAACTCCACTGGTGAGATGGGGGTCTTTTCGCGCACCCCAGTAAACATCAAGAGCGTTTCAACCCTATCACTTACTGGTGGGGGCGGGGGTGCCCTACTTTCAGCAAACCCTTCCTTCAATTTCTCTCTGTTTTGTCGTACAAGGGGCGTGGATTTTCGCGATTCTTGCATCTCAGTGTCTTGCCCCTCAGACCCTCGGAACGACGTGGCCGTAGCGCAACTATGAACTTGGAGCGGGTGTCCAACGAAGAGAAGTTGAACTTGTGCCGCAAGTACTACCTGGGTAAGGACCAGAATCCTAGAGTCTCAGGAGAAGAGATGGGACGGAATGAGGTCTGTAGGGCTGGATTTTTGGATCTAAGGGATGAAGCCGCTGGGCTGGCAGCGCGAGCTCTGAGGGAAGGAACTGGGTCCTGAGGAGGGAGAAGCTGGGCCTTAAGAGCTTCTTGGTCCCAAGAGGGGAATTGGGGGCTGGACTCCTGGGTTCTGACAAAGAGATGGCTGAGGAATCAGATTCCTGGATCCCAGGGAGGAACCTTGATATCAGAGTCCTTAATTGCAGAGATCTCGACTTGAACTTGGGTGTGGGAGAACTTTCCAAATAAGTCATCTAAGTGGGCATTGGGGAAGATACTAATTGTCTTATGTCCTAGTTTGGCTTTTTTCTCTTTAGGTGGGTTTGCTTTCCTGCCTTTTCTCTGGTTGGTCAACATCTTCTGGTTCTTCCGAGAGGCCTTCCTTGTCCCCCCATACACAGAGCAGAGCCAAATCAAAGGCTGTGAGTCCAGGGTACAGTTGAAAGAAGGCCATTGGGAGGTGGAGGGGTGGAGGAGCTCTGGTGGGATGGGATGAAAGGAGTTCCAGAATTCTAGGGCTCTGTGGAAGAAAAGAGAGAACTGGTCTGGAAGTGACCACAGAGCAGGTGGAAGCCAACCTTACCCACTCCTGTTACCTTTTACAGATGTCTGGCGCTCTGCTGTGGGCTTCCTTTTTTGGGTGATTATACTCACCACCTGGATCACCATCTTCCAGATCTACCGGCCCCGTTGGGGCGCCCTTGGGGACTACCTCTCCTTCACCATACCTCTGGGTACCCCCTGACAAATTCTTCAGCACAGGCCTGGGACCTGATCATTCTCCCAGGATGGGCTCCTGTACTCCGAGCCCACTTTCAAGTACCCCTAATACTATTCCCATCTCTGTGTCCTCTGTTGACATACACCAATAAATGACCTTAATTCTCTATGTTGACTTCCTGGGATCTTTTGAACATTGAAACAAAATTATTATTACTGTTCAGAAACATTCATTAAATGCTTACTTTGTTCCAGGGTTAATGTTTTATGCATTATGTGCATCTTTTCACTGAATACTATTCATAACCCTTCTGAAATAGGAACTGTCCTGCTCCTGTAAAAACCTATTTTACAGATGCAGAACCAAGAAAGGAATATGATTCTATTACTAGGGGCTGTTCTGTTACTGGTATTATGTAAGTTTGAAAACATTGCTTTTCCATTTGGCCTTAGTATTCTCATCTAAAATGTGGACCACAATACTACCTTTTGGAATTTATCTGGGTCAAGGTATATGTGGTAAAATGAAGTTCCCCATTTTCTGAAGATGTCTGCTTTATTAGAGAAAGCTTCCTTAACCAAACTATTTCAAATTTCAGTGTTTTACTTGTTTATTGTGTACTCCCATCCTCAAAATATAAGCTCTATTAGGACAGATATTTTTGTTTGCTTTGTATTCTGCTTGTGCCTAGAAGACTGACTCCCACAGTAATAATATTTGCTAAGTGAATACGGTTGTACCTGAAAAGAGATTAATAGGTAGTTGGCACTACTGAGTGCTCAGTTAAAGGGAACAAAGCCTAACTCCAGATTTGTCTTCCAATTAGAGGCAAGAAGGGCACGGTTAATGGCTTTTATTAAAAGCTATTAGCACTATAAGTTCCAAAAAACTTGCGTTGCTCTGGTCCTTTATCTCCCACCGTGCATGGCGCGGCGCAGGCGCTGTTACTACGGCTGAGCCAGAACTACACCTCCCAGAAAGCGTGCCGGAATGTCGTTAGTTTGTTTCCGGAAGTGAGTCCCCAGTAAGGTGGGACTTAGAGCTGAGAGCTGCCAATTGGTCAGGGTACGAGATCGACGGTTGTAGTGACTAATGGGAACAAGCGACTGCCGGTGGGGCCACACCAGAGGGGAGCTGGAGGTGCTGGCGGCGGCGGCTGTCGTAGACCGACGCTGCTCTGGGCGGAAGACTTCTCGCACACGAAGCTTATCTTTGACGATCTCCGACTGCCTTTGCCCTTGACTTGTGACACTAGGCCCTTTTGGGCTCCTCTGACCCAACTAGCCAGACACCAGACCCAAACCATGTTCCCGGTGAAGGTGAAAGTGGAGAAATCAGGTGAGGTGTTGAGATCGGGGGCCTATAGAAGAGCACGGGACTGACCAGGGTATGCGAGTCCGGATAGACAGGGTCATCGCGATAAGGTAGACTGAGACTTCTCCCTGCAGCCCTTCTGCCCATCGCTATGTCAGGCTTTGAGCGAGTCCTGCCGCCTGCATAGCTTACCAGTCTCTGCTCGAGATTGCTTTGCGATTGAGTGGTGCTGGCTCGGGCAGTGTGGTGCCGCAAGACATGGGATTCCCAGCCCCGTGACCCTGAGAAAGACTACTTGGCTGTGTCTCAGTTTTTCCATTTCTAGCAATAGTTATGAATCAAACATTGTACTGAGTGCCTGAAGTACAAGGAGATTTTTAATCCTTGAAGTCACTGTATCCCAATAATCCCAGAAGTCGGAAATGCGGTAGATGGGAAAACAAGCTGAGAGAGAATTCATTTTGGGTTGGGACCAAGCTTATGGGAACCCAGGACTGGCCGGTGGGAAAGGCACAGAATCCAGATAAAATATAATAATAAAATGATGTAGGATGTTAAATGGTATACATGGAATAAAATGAAACAGAAAAAAATGTGAGATCAAAAGTGAGGCAAGGTGAGGGAGAGAGCCATGAGGATATGTGAGTGAACATCAAATAAGACAAAGGAAATAGCTTTGAAAAGGCCTTTTCTGGCCTGTTCAAGGACCAGCTGGGAGGCCAGGTGGTTGGAACAGAGTGAGTGAGGTAGAGTGTGTGAGGCGATGGAGGCCAAAGAGGGAGGGGAGAGGAACCAATCTTGTGGACCCAGGTTAGGACTTAGGTTTTGCTGTGAGGGAAATGGAGAACCAATGGAGGGTTTTGAATTGAATAAGTTAATAAAGATGCCTTTCAAATGCCAGAAAAAATTGTGGAAGGAATGATGATGTGGGTAGGTAGGATCTTGGAGGCCTGTGACCACCAGGCTTAGGAGCTCAGGCTCTGCCCTGAGGCACTGCAGAGTGGTGGAGGGTTCTAAGGGGAGTATCGGGGTCAGGATTGATTTTAGGAAGACTTCCCTGGCCACTTTGTGGAGGGTGGGTCAGAAGGGGAGATTGAGGTTGGGAACCCAATGGAAGGAACGAAAAGGACCAGGTTGAGCAGGGAATGGTTGGGATAAGTGGTAGAAAAGGAGGCCAAGTGGACAGGAGTTGGTGATTTGGGATGGAGGAGAGAGAGAGGTGTCCCTGTTGAGGCCCAAGGAGGGATTAGGGGACAGCAGGGCTATCCTTGAGATGGGGGCCCAGGAAAGAGGGTAAGTTTAGAGAAACATTGAGGCCAATGATAATGTGGGAGCCAATAGGTAGAAGAACCAGGAGAAGGTGTCCTGGAGTCCATGAGATCCCAAAATCTGAGGTTCAGGAGAGAAGTGCGGGCTAGGGATGTGGGCATAATCCATACCTTGTCTCCTGAACAAGGCTTTTCACTAGAATCTCAGCTGCCCCAATCCACACCCTACCCTGTCTCTGCGTGATGTCAGGAATTCGTGCATCTTCTGGTCTCCTCAGGAAGTCCCAGGGCTGGCCAGAGCATATCCCCAAGTGTCCTTCCAGGCTCTGAGCACTGTGCCAAAGCACCTACTAGCTGGAAGAGGAGAGCAAAAACCTCACAGGGTGAGAAGAGAATATTTATAACATCATTACCTCCTTAAGTTCTGTGATGAACAGAGGCAAAAACAGGCTGCAGAGCCAGGCAAGGCCTGTGATAATGCAGGAAGGTGGGCCCAGATCTCATTTCCATTATGTGTATGGCAATGGGGTGGGGTGGGGGGTCTTTTGGGTGAAATCTCCCAATTAAATGTGAGCTCATTCAGATTCAGTTCAGATTTAATATAACTCCACTGCCTTATCCAAACAAAGTTTATCTGGGGACTAGATACCATGTCCCATTTGAGTCCCTGCCATATAATTTTAGCTTTGGAGCCAGATGGCCTACATGCAAATCCTTAGCCCCTAGCTGTGTGATTTTGGGCAACTGTCAAACATCTGTGTGCCTCAGTTTCATGATCTGTAAAATGGGTAAAAATCATATGTACCTACCACGGTTATTGTGAGAATTCAATGGCTTAATATTTATGATATGCTTGGAATAATGCTTGGCACATGATAAGCACTCTGTATATATTACTTATTATTGCATTCTGCTAAGAGATTCATATACAACATAGGCCTATTTAAGTCTCAGAACAGTCCTAACAAATAAGTATCATTTGGAGACCTATTTTCAAGAGGAAACAAGACTCAGTGAGGTAAGATGATTTGTCTTAGGTGGGACAGCCCAGGAACCCAGAGCTCTTACTCATCACTTAAGTAGTCTGCCCTCTACACCCTCTCAGCACACCTGGGCCTGATTAGTTTGACTACGCATGCCCTTCCCCAGCCAGTTGACTTCCCACCTGCCTTGAGCCTGGAAGCTGACTCTTTCTTGGTACCCTCTTCCCCAGAGCTGGAGATGGCCAAGGCCCGGAACCAATTGGATGCTGTTCTACAGTGTCTGCTGGAGAAGAGTCACATGGACAGGTTGGGAGCTGGGCCAGCCTGAAGTCAGAGGGGGTTGGGCCCTCTAATCCTGGGTGGATTTAGATGGCCCCCCAGAACCTGACCCAGGGAGGCAGGGGCCCAATGGAGAGGCCACTCATTGCCTTACCACTGTGGGCCCTTGGAACCCTGAGTCCACAGTTATCTTCTGCTACCAGGGAGCGTCTGGATGAGGAAGCCAGGAAGACCCCCTCAGACACCCACAGCAAGTAAGTTTTCCTGGTGGGATCTGCAACTGAGGGTTTGTGGTGAATGACTTTTCTCACCCCAGCCCTGACCACTCTGTCCCCTGCTTCCTCCACCACAATTTTAACCACTCTGTGTGTATAAAGACCCGGGGGCAGCAGAAGCTTAGGTCCCCTCGTACGTAGAGCCTCAGGGGCTTGGGTGGGACACAAAGCCTACAGGGCTAGTGGGGAACATGTGGGCATCTCAGGCTTGATCTCAGTATCCATAGGTGTCTTTTGGGAGATTTTGAGCAGGCATTTGTTCAAGAGTGAGCCTGCTCATGCCCTGTCTCTTCCTACAGGGATTGCTCCATTGTGGCCACTGGCAAACGGTAAGGTGGCAGGGGTTTCAGCCAGGTGAAAAGAAGTCCCCAGCGCTGGTCCTGATGTTCTCTCAACTCACACAGGCCATCTGCCCGCTTCCCCCACCAGCGGAGGAAGAAGAGAAGGGAGATGGATGATGGGCTGGCCGAAGGAGGGCCACAGCGATCTAGTGAGTAGGTGGTAGCCCTAGAGGGCAGTCAGTGATAGGGGCTATGTAAGCATGTTCACATACCTCCCGCTCCCACTTCCCTAGATGCGTATGTGATTAAGCTGTTTGACCGGAGTGTGGACTTGGCTCAGTTCAGTGAGAACACACCGCTATATCCAATCTGCCGTGCCTGGATGCGCAACAGCCCCTCAGTGCGTGAGCACGAACGCTCACCCAGCTCACCGTTGCCCCCACTGCCTGAGGATGAGGAGGTGGGATGGGTGGAAGTTCCTGCCCAACAGCCAGGGAGGGAGTGGGTAGATGGTTACATGGTACCCTCCTCGCAAGCTATTGGGATAGACAGGCAGTTTTCTGTGTACCTTAAATGTCTCCTGGATCCATTGAGGCACACAGATATGAACCCTTAGATTGGGAGTATGGATGTAGCTCTCCAGAGCAGACACACATGGCTACCTTTTCTGGGAGAACGAGGGAACAGGGTTCACCTGGGCAAATATATGTGACCTCTAAGATTGGGATCCCCAAGAGCTGGGGGGCTGGAAAGGGGTCCTTAATGTAAAAAGGCATAGCCACCTGATCTAAAGGAGCAGATGGGGAGGTCCGAGGGTGCACAGGCATCGATGGGAATCTCTCGACTGGCTGGGTAAGATCCCCATCCTTCAGACATGACTCCCAAGTACAGGTCCCAGAGGAGACTCTCATGTTTGTTGTCACTGGGAAAGGAAGAAGGGGTAAAATGTGTATCCCTGGCCCTCATTTCTGATTCTTGGACCTTTTATGGGGCTCCTGTGTCTCCAGGGTTCAGAGGTTACCATCAGCAAGAGTCGGGATGTGTACAAGTTGCCTCCTCCCACAGCCCCTGGGCCATCTGGAGATGCCTGCAGATCCCGAATTCCATCCCCACTGCAGCCTGAGACACAGGGTACCCCTGAGGATGAGGTGGGTCTGCAAAACTTGCCTGGGGCTTTGGGACATATATTGTGGGGTGTAGACATGGCCATCCAGCCTGGCTTCTCTATCCACACAGCCCTCTGAACCCTCACCCTCACCTTCCACACTCATCTATCGCAACATGCAGCGCTGGAAACGCATCCGCCAGAGGTAAGCATCCCCAACCTGCTTGCTCCTCTATGGCTTCTGCCCCAACTGCTGAGCCCTCCCTCTGCTTTCCCTCTCCCACTGCAGGTGGAAGGAGGCATCTCATCGGAACCAGCTTCGTTACTCAGAAAGCATGAAGATCCTACGGGAGATGTATGAACGACAGTGATGTTCCCCTGACCCCAATAAACATTTCCCCTCTGTACACTGGCCTCTGATTGCTCCAGCCTGTCCTTCCCAGCCCAGACATAAAGCAGATAGCACAGCTCTAGCACATTTATTGAGGAGTGAAGGGATAGGGCAGCAAGGAATTCAGGGAGGGAGAAAAATTCTGGAGAGAAGTGCTTCACATCCAGCAGCACCGAAATCAAAGAAGGTGGCTGCAGGCTGGGTCTTGGAGAATAAGGGTGGAGTCTGGAAAGTGGATTGCCTGTGATTAGAGACTTAGGGGTCAAGACAAAGTGACAAGGGTACCCTTGGAGATGAGGGTTAGGATATTATGCGGAGCCTGGGGAAATGAGCAAGATAGCTATATTTTGAGGGTCCTGGTTGGCCTAGAATAAGTTTTCCAAGGGCGCGGGATCAGAAAAGGGATTTAAGAGTCTGAAGGTGACTGGTTGAAAATGAGGGGAAGACCAGGCTTGGGTGATCTAGCGTGGGAAGTCTGCAGTCTGGGACTTTGTGGAGAGGGGATGAGGGTTTATGCTTGATTGGCCTATGGGAACAGGGCTGTCTATATCATAATCTGGTGTCAGTGATTCTTTTATATTGAGAAGGAAATAGGTTTTGAGTGGGTTTACAGGCCAAGAAATGGGTTAGTGGGGATGGGCTTGTAGGGTCTGGAAGCCAGGAAGGTGTTTGGGTTTGGAAACGAGGGTTTGTGAGGGTGAAATCAGGGCCGAGTCTAGGTTGGAAGGGTCTGGGCTGGATCCCAGATTGGTGTAGGGGTGGTGGCATGGCGAGCTTGGTACATCTGGCTGGGCGGAGTCAGGTCGGCTTTAAGAGGTGGCCTGAGGCGGTTCCCAGGCTTCAGGTGTGCCCAGACCTCAAGTTGGCAGCAGCCTGTGGTTGCGGCAGTGGGGCCTGGGCCAGCACGGGCACGGCCTGGATGGACAGAACGCCCTCAGGGGACAATGCTGATGTCACGGCGGCAGGGTCCACACCGGGTGGCAAACGATAGCGGCGGTGGAACTCTCGAGCCACGTATCCATGCTCATCCTGGAAACGGAGAGGCTTGAGAGGCCCCGCCCTTCCCTGACGCAGCCCGTTCCCGTAGGCCAGCCCCCAGCGGGCTCACGGGGCTGCCCCACCAGCGGCTCACCGGGCGCTCCTCATGGCGAGCGTGCACCTCCACATGTTCACCAACCACCTTGACGGTGATTTCCTCTGGAGAGAAGTGCTTCACATCCAGCAGCACCGAGAAATGCCCGGGGTCGGTGGGCACCTGTGCACAGCCCCATTGTCATTTGGTGAGGCAGGGCTCCCAGGACCCAAGCCAGGCCTCTCCCTCGTAGGTTCTAGTGCAACTGACTGGCCTCTGAAACAGGCATCCCTTTTCCTGCTCGTAACCATGGATGGCCTCCTCATCCGGAAGAACTAGTCTCCTCCTCCCACCGGGAGGAAAGCCCCTTTTCCCTGCCAGGTCAGAGACCTCAGGCCTCACAGAGTGAACACCCTTCATCCCCCCAGCTCTGAGGATGGCGCAGATGGCAGTCTTAAGAGCAGAATCGAGGGTACAGAGAATACGGTGGACCAGCCAATGACCCCATAGTCCATGTGTCCTCCTGGACACTGCCTCCCCAGGCCTTTCCTCTCAAGTCCTGCAGCTCTTACTGCCATCTCCCTCCCTCCCCCAAGGGACCACTTGCGTCCTCAGGAGCCAGCCCCCTCCCCATTCTCAAGTCACAAGACCCTCCTCTCTGCCTCTCCGGGATACACAGGGTCACTTCATATAATCTACAAACTCTTTCCCAGGAATAATAACAAACATTCCCTCCCTGCAAGAGTCACTGGAGCCCCTACGCCCTTCAGCATGACTGACCTCCCATCCCCCACCCCCAGATCCCTGGGTTATTAGCCTCCGTCAAAGTCATCGGGATCCCCCCTCAGAGTGACCACCTCACCCTCTCAGTCCCCTTAGAACTGAGATTCTCCTCAGATCGACGGGGACCTCCGACCCCCTCCATTAACCTGACCTCTAAAATGCCATACTTGGGGAACTCCGGAAGCCCCTCTGAGTGGCCGGATTCTTCGTCCCTCTCAAAGTCAAGGGACATTCCCTCATCCCCCTCAGGATGACCAGCACCCTCCCCAGGCCTGGCACCTGGGCGGCAGGCAGCGCCACGCTGGGTGCGCGCAGGTAGTAGGGCGCCAGCGTGGTGGGGCAGAGCGCAGCGAGCTCAGCCTCCAGCAGCCCCTCGCCGAAGCGCTGGTCGAAGAGGCGCCCAGGAGCCGAAAGCCCAGGCAACGGGGCGGAGGCGCGGCGCAGCCACGACGGCTGCACGGGCACGGGGATCTCCATCCTGCTCCTGCTGCGCTGCGGTGTCCCCGGGGCGTCCCCGCTGCTTTATAGTCCGCCCTGCGTCCGCCCCTCGGCGGGCCGCCCGGGGACACTCGGACTGCGGCCAGACCCAGCCACTAACAGAGCCTTATTTAGAAAGCCAACAATGACTTGGCCATTTATTAAGCTCCTGCTGGATGCCAGGGAGGTATCAAGATTCTCCAGTTTCCCGAAGGGAAACTAAGGCTGAGGAGGCGGAGCCTTGCCTGAATTTGGGGCCCAGGGCTTGAGAAGCCCTCTGCAGAGCTCCCAGTCCCTTTATTCCACCCCCGCCCCGCAGGCAGCTCTGAGGATGACGCAGATGGCAGTCTTAAAAGCAGAATCGTGGGTACAGAGAATGCGGTGGACCAGCCAAACTGTCAGAAGGACACAGGACAGACCATTTCCATCAGCCCAGTCCGGGCAAGCCGGGCCTAATTCTGTGCCTCTGACTCAGTCTTGGCTGCACAGAGTAGCGGGGTCTGCCAGGTGAACAGCGGCCAGGAACTGTGGACAAGAGTCCAGGTTGGCACCCGGGGGAGCGCGCGCCTGGCCCGAAATAGCTTGTTTTGATCCCGCCACCTGGCCAGGAGCCCAGGCCTGGCACTTGGCGCAACCAGCTGCTCCTGCAGCAAGACAGAAGCAGGTGACCGGGCGGGACGGTCCTGCAGGTCCGACTGACGGAGGGATGTCCGTTAGAAAGGGGACAGTCTCCCCGATTGCCCCTACAACGGGAAAACGTCTGTTGGAATAGATTCTGGACGAGATTCCCGCAACAAGCAGGTTGTAAAACAAGGCTGCAGGGAAGCGCGCGTACTTTAGAACCCCTCCTAACCTTGAACAGTTTCACATCCTTTCCATTGGTCCACAGGCTTGCCAGTCACTGCTGCACGTTATGGTTCTCCAGTCACACACGCTCTCTCAGTCAGGCTGACTCCATAGCCAGTTGTGAGACACCCGCCTGCTGCCACTTTGCAATTACTTTTCATCATTGGTCGCTTTGGAGGCGCGGTAATCCCGCGAGGGCACCCCGGGAGAGGGGCGGGGCGGACAGGGCATTGCTAAGCGACCGAGAGGCGCGCTAGTCGGTCGGTGCTGGGGAGTTGCAGGCGGAAGTAGCCACCGGATGAACCGTAGGTGAGGCCTTCCCTCTTCTGGGGACCACAGGATGCCTGAAGAACAGGGTGAGAGAGAAGCACCACCTAGGGTCCGGATGGCTGGGGTCCGGAGTCTCCTTCAGTCGCAGGGAACTAAAACTTCCAAGTTGTTCCACGGCTTTGCTGCTCCAGTCTTGGGCTTCACCATCCCCGGGGTCCCATAGTGTCTTGCGTTCCGCTGTTAGTGATCCCAAGATCTTTTTTTCCCTTCTTCTAAGAGTGTCCAGAGGAATCTTGGGAATTAAGTTTCTTAATTTTGAAATTGCCCCCAGACTCCCACAGGTGTTGTTCTTTGTTTATCTTTCTTGCTTAGGAAGAGCCCATTGACTGATGGGGATTGTAGTCCATCTGCCCCTTTTTCCTTAGACTTCCCAAGATCTGTGGGAAATGTACTGCGATAGCGTTTAGCCATGGTTCTTAACCGGAGGTCCACTTCAGAATTCCGGGACTTCTGAAAAAGTCTCTAAGGAAAAAGATACAGATGCCTAACACCTGCTTCCAGATAATTCTTATTCTTTAAGTCTGGGGTGAGGACCACACGTCTGTTGTTGTTTTAAAGACAATCCCTAGGCTGCACCCAGTGTTGAGAACCACCATTAGCAGTTCCTGGCTTCTTCTCTTGTGAGACTGCTCCAAGGGCTGACGCCTCCAGTATCATCTTGAATGTGCAGTGATGCATCGTGGGAATTATACTCCATCTTTTACAGGAATCCATGGGAATTGTAGTCTTTCTGTACTTCTCTTCCCATCCTCCTGCCCTCTACACTCCCCACCCCCATTCCTCCTGCGCTGCAGTGACCATGCTCTGCCTACCAACTTTACCCTCTCTTTGCAGCCTGCCAGTTTTCAACACTCAAGACAGCCCCTTTGGGGATTTTCCCCTGGGTCAAAACTAGCCCTGGCACCCCAAGGTGAGAACACCCCACCCACAGAGAATGCTGTGTGACTGCCTAGTAGCAAGGGAGTGAAGACCTGTGAAGAGATGCCGGTGAGAGATTAAACACAGTCCCTCCTCCCCTCCCCATGGCCCTTCCTTTATCTAATCCTCTCCACCATCACAGCCGAGTTTTCTCTGAGTTGTTACCACTGTGAGATGTGTTTCCTCCCCTCTGGACTAAGACTTTACATGTGTCTTTGTTTCTTCAGGGATATCACTTTTTCTTCTCCCCACCTCCCCCATCTTAGACTCTGAGCCCATCCAGGTCCCAGAGATCCAGGATCCCAGAAACTCCCAAGGCTCTGGCCACAGATCCCAACTCCCCTGAGCTGTTTGAGAAGTCCTGGCCATCCAGGTCAGGGACCCCTTCCCCACCCAGCACCACTGAGGAACAGATGGGTACCTCTTCGCCACCCACTCTGATTGACAGTGGTGACTCCGTGGTGGCCAAGTAAGTACCATCAGCCCTGAAGGCAAGAAAGATTGGGGGGCGGGGGGTGGGGGGAAGGCATCCTGTTATTACCACAGCCAGTGCTGTTTAGGTAGCACTTTCAGGACTACACTTCATGTGTGTTAAGAGCTCTGGAGTTAGGCTGCCTGGGTTCAAATCCCTGCTCTGTCACTTTCTCTTTGTATGATCTTCTGAGTTTTTTTTTCTCTATAAGTTGGGGATATGAATAACATATCCCCTAGGGCTGTTTAAGCTTTCAATGAGTTACTTACTGTCTGTAAAGCTTCTATAACAATGCTTGTCACATAGTGAGCTTTTGGATTTGTAGGACACAAGTTCACTGTTACAACGAAGAGCCCCAGATTAATTGTGGCTTAAACAAAATAGTTTCTTTCTCCCTCACCTAACAGTACAGGCAGAAGCAACCAGGGTCAATATGACACCCTAGTTGAGATGTCAGAGACACAGTTTCCTTCTATCTCGTTCCCCTTCCCCTTACTCCTCCTCTAGACTGTTGCACTTTTTTTCATGGACCAAAATGGCTCCTAACAACATCCATTACTCAGAATCACATCTCTTCACACCCTGTTAGTCAAGAACCCAGTTACATGGCCATAAAGTTACAAGGGCACCTGGTAAATGTATGTATAGAAGAATGGGTATGTGTCCAATACTAGTCTTACATAATATTGTATTACTATATAAGAAAAAAAATGGATATTGAGGCACAACTACCAGGTGCTTTCATAATGTTCAATAAACATTGGCTATTGTGATTATTACTGTTATTATTTGGCTCTCCTTACCCTAACCTCCTACCATTCTCTGATGCCCAAAGGTTCATAAACCGGTTCCGGCAGGCTCAGCCCACAAGCCGAGAGGAACGCCAGCCTGCAGGCCCAACCCCAGCTGACTTTTGGTGGTTGCGGCCTGAATCTCCAGACCCTAGTCGTCAACTTGCAGCAGGTACTTGTTTCAGTTCCATCCACTCCTGGCCCAAAACCTTTTCTTTTTAACTTATCTTTATTGTTGAAAGTATTACAGATGTCTTCCCTCCATCGACCCCCTCCACTCAACTCCTGTCCCTTCACCAGGCCTTTCCCTCACTATTGCCTGTCAATGGGCTATGCATATGTGCAAATAAGCTCATTGTTTAATCTCTCACCCCCTCCTTCCCTCTGAAATACGTTAGTCTGTTGCATGCTTCAATGTCTCTCTCATTTTTGTTCATCAGTTTCTTTTGTTCATAGATTCCACATGTAAGTGAGATCATGTGGTACTTTTCTTTCTCTGATTGGTTTATTTTGCTTAGCATAATACTCTCCACATCCCTCCATGCTGTTCCAAAATCTTTCTTGTCCAGTGCTCTCAGCAGCCACTCCTCCTGGCCTTCCTAAATCAATTGGGGTTTCTCAGCAGGAGCCAATAAACCAGAAGGAAGACTCACCACAGAAATCCCAACTCTTGCCAAGGTTGCCAGTGCATCGCAGGCTAAGGCTATGGCTCCCCTTCAGGAAATAAAGCAGGTGACATCTCCATTTATTCCTCCCGCTATGTTCCCTGAACTGATAGTACCAGCCCTGGGATAGAATTAGAGTCAGTCCATTCAAGGAAGCATAAACAAACAAAAGATTTGTTTGCTAATGTAATTAAAAAGTCCAAAAGTAACTTCTTTCAGGCATGGCTGGACCCAGGTGTTTGAACACTATTGGGAAGAACTTGAATGGTTTGGCTTTCTGTCATCTTTGTTGGGCTCAGTCTCAGGCAGGCTTTCCTCTCAACATAGCTAGGATGGCCTCAGTAGTTCTAGCCTTTTAACGTATTTATCCACAGGAAAGAGGAGCCTTTTCCAGTAGCTCCATCCAAAGCCCTTGTTACTCTCATCAGCTCACAATCACTGTGAACCAGAGGATAGAATGTTGTGATTAGTCAGGCCTGGCCAGGAAGGCAGGGTCAACACTTCTACAACAATAATTTCACTGAGGGTGTGGATCCACACAAGAAATCTGGGTCACTCTTCCCTGAAGAGGAAGAGCATATGCTAAGCCAGCGTGTGAGGGTACCAGGTGGAGTATCCTTTGTCTGAGCAGCCTTTGAACTCTGGGCTGGCCTCTGACCATCTCACCTCACAGAGCCTCAACACATGGAACTCATCCCTGCTGGACCTGGAGATGCTGAGCCTGCAAAGCAGAGCTGCCAGGCTGCTGAAACACAGGTGCTTTCCCTGCCCCCATCATCCTCTCCACTCCTACAACTTTAGGCCCACCCATTAGCTGTGGGACCCCTACTGCCTCACTTCTGTATTTTTCCCACAGCAAGGCCTCCGTCTCCTCCTGCAGCCCCACCAATTCCGTATTCCCTGTCAGCTCTGGTGGTCTATCTCCCTCCTCTGTGGCCTTCACCCCTGACTCCAGCAAGGGCTCTGACCCCAAGGCACATGGTGAGTTCTGGAGAGCAAGGATTGAGGGCAGCCGGTGTGAACCCCACATTTGCCAGTAATCAGCTATGTGACCTTGGGCCTCTCTGTGCCTTCCTTGTTTCCCCAAAACGGGGATAATAATTGTACTCTTCTGTTGGTGTGGTGAAGATTAAATTAGTTGATGAATATGGAGTACTTAGCACCAGTCTGTTAATAGTAGCTATCATTAGTCGGACAGGTTCTCTCTCTGTATCCTATCTGCCTCTAAACACAGAGCTCCAAAATCAAAAGGCTTTTTGCAAATTTGACACTACACTTGATTTGATAGCAAAATCTGATCTCAACAATAAGAAGGATATTTATTATCTCTCATTTAGGACAACTTCATACTTTTTGCTATGAATTTATTACATTGAAACATGAAATTTATGCCTTTGTAAGTAAAAAATGGTTAAATATTGCCATTGCATATTGTTCAACCAAACACCAATGTGTTTGAGTCTGGTGTACTGCATCAGACCCCTGGCTACACTGTATATGCCATACAACTTCGCTAAAACATGCAAGATTTCAGAAATGAGATTAGGGACCTGGGTTAGTGTTGCTGCCATCGTTGTGGTTACTTTTAGTCTGTGCCCATGTCCTGGGATACAGTGGAGCACAAGACAGGTGCTCTGCAATCTCCCGGGGCTCCCACGAGTGGGGACAGGCAAGCACAGACAACCAGAGGTTTTCCTGGTTGTATGTGATCCTGCTCAAACTCACCTGTCTGATTCTTTCTTCCAACCCTAAGTTCCACCTTTTGTCCACCTTTCCTTTCTGAGCCTCAATTTTCTCTTTTTAAAATAGGAATAAACCTAGTACCTATTTCATGTTTTTTCATTCATTCATCTAACAAAAAATAAATTTCTGCTGTGTATGAGGCCCTGAGAGCAGGATTGGATATTCCACAGTGAACTAGTCATGAATACTTTTATCTTCAGGGTTCTCACAGCACAGTGAGTGTAGAATAGAGTAGCTACATAACCCCACAAACAAATGTGAAACGTAAGCAGAAACGAGGGCTATTGAAGAGAGGACTGTGATGCTGAGAAGTCAGAGAAGGCCTTCCTAGAAGAGATGCTATCTAGGTGGAGACCTGAATGATGAAGGTGGGGACAAGCGCCGTCTAACGTGTTCAGAGGACCTGAAGTGGGAGGAACCATGGTGCAGACAATGAACTAGAAAAGGCAAGAGCCAATGGTGAGAGTGCTAGGTGATAAGGACAGATTGGCAGAGGTCAGATTACATTGGGCCATGTAGGCTTGGGGAGGCATTTGGTCATTATCTTAGTACCGGGCAGCCATGAGAGGGTTCTGAGCTGGGAGGGTACATGATTTTCCTTGAGTGTTAACACACTCCCCCTGGCTGCTCTCGGTACCCAGTGAGAGATGCTGGTGCCAAGATGCTGGGCCAGAGCCTGAGGAGCAGAGTAGAGGGCAGTGGCCAGGTTTGGAAGTAGAATCACAGGATTCTCTCCACACATCTTTTTTTTGGGGTATAGAGGGTAGGGGAGGAGAGAGGTCTGAGATGATGTCCCCCCTTTCTGCAGCATCAGATGGTCAGGCTTCTGAGAGACAATGGTAGCCCTACTGAGCATTGCTGTTGAAATGATGCTCTGGGACTGGGTGATGGGAAAACGTTCTTTTGCCCTACTGGACTGAGGACAGACTGTTGTACTGAGCCAGAACAGTGCCTGGCTCAATAGTAAGAGCTAAATAAACATTTGTTAGTGAAGGAAGGATTAAATGATGGCAAGTTGGGAAATCTATGAGTTCTCTCTCCTCTGACTCTGCCCCTTCTCTACTTGCCACTCTGGAGAGGAGTTGGGACATTATCTGAGGAGCCTGTCTGAATATTGGTACAGTCGAAGGTTGTGTGCACTGGCTGTCATCAGGTTGCTCATCCCCCCAACCTCGTGTCTTATCCTTCTTCCCTCTACTTACCCCATAGCAACTCCGGCACCAGCCCCCCGCCCTGCTCCAGCCCTGGTCTCCTCCCAGGCACCCCTGCGGCCAGAGGATGACATTCTGTACCAGTGGCGACAGCGGCGGAAGCTTGAACAAGCTCAAGGGGGTCAGGGTGATGGAACCTGGGTGCTGCCAGGGACCTCTGCCCTCACTACTCCGGTGAGATGGGGGAGGGAGGCACTGGAGGGGGATTCTAAGGGTGGTTGCAGGGAGGGAGGCCTGAGTGGAACTGAGGACACCCTATTCTTTCTCTCTCCTCAGGTCCCTGTCCCCATCTGTCTGCATACCTCGCCTGCCCCTGCGGAGACCCTTAATTCCCTGGGAACACAGCCTAACTGCATCCCACTCTGGGGCAGTGTGGCCGGGCCTGCTCCCCAGGAAGCCTATGTCGAGAGGCGTCCTATTCCCCCAGAGTTCTCTACACACATCTTTCGGGGCCCTTACCCCCATGGATTTTTCTGGACCCCACAGCCCGGTTCCTGGGTATCTTTTGGGGGCGTCCCCCCCATGCCCTGTGCCTCTACTCCTGGGCCCCCTATCACCACCCAGGGCCCACCCACCCCTGCGCCATGTACCTCTGCCCAGCTGGAGAGGCAGGACCCCAAACCTCGGAAGGGTAGAGCCTGGTGCCTGGAACCTGCTGGGCGAGTCATGGTGGCTGATCAGGAGCCTAGCCCACAGCTCCGTGGCCCTCTGGGCCAGGTAGTGACAGCTCGGCTCTTCCCGGACAGCTTGGAGGACACGCCCCCTCGCCTCAAGAGCCTGCCTCCACCTCTGGTTGAATCTCGGAAAATCAAGAACGCACAACCCAAAACTAAGGTTATGCCCCCGTGCTCAGAAGTTACCTCCCCTCTATCTGATTCACGGTTTCCTCAGGGGACCTCACCTGGTCGGCCTAAGGCTGAGTCTCGAAATGCCAAAGCCACGCCCCCCGAGGAGGGGTGGGTGCTTTGCAGTGAACTCAGGAATCCTCAGCCCAAGGCCCCGCCCCCTCCAGCCGAAGAGGCTTCCACCGGGGCTGGAGCCCCGCCCGCTTTGTTCGAGGCGGGGTCTCTAGAGGCTGTGGTCACCTCCTCGCCCGCTGCTGACCACGCCCCCCCAGAGGACCTGCTCTCCCAGGCCGCCAGGCTTCTGCAGGCTGCTGAAGGTGACTGATGCGTGTGGCTGCTGGGATCTGGATGGCTGTGGAGCATGCTGTGAGTCCACACCCCTGGAGCTCGCTCTTTTTCCTCCAGATTCCGACAGCAGCGAGTTCCAGGAGGACCCTGTGCTGCAGGTGCTAAGGGTTCAGAGGGCTGAGCTGCGGCGGCAGAAAAGGTGACTATCTCCCTTAATTTTCTGAGATTCCCGTCAAGTGTCCCCCTCTCTTGAACCCCTTTCCCAGAACTATCCAGAGCTCCAGATCCTCCTGAGCACATACCTCAGCCTCTACAACCTGGCTTTTTTCCAGGAAAGTGGACGCCCAATTATCCCTCCTACTGGGTCACACCGAAGACTCAGGGTCTTGGTTCCTCCTGCCAGGTCGACCCCCAGGTCCCCAAGGATGTGGCTGAGGAGGAAATAGCCTCACTTGAGGCCAGAAGATTTTGAATTGTACAAATTCTATTTTTCCCAATGAAATGCTCTTTTTGGGTTACAGTTTGTCTCTGAGAAAAGAGTTCTGAAAAGGCCAAAAATCATGCTAATTTAGGGAAATGCCCGCCCCCCCTGCCTCCCTGTCCTGCCCACCCCTACCCTAGTTACTGACTGGTACAGAATGTCTTCTGGTTTCATCCTCTTTGAGGGCAAGACAGGGAAGGGGTTCCAGGTAAAGCTTCAGGCAGGACTGGGACTCATCTTAACTCAGGAGTGGGTGCTCCTGTCTCAGCCCACATCCTGCTTGAACCAGCACAGTATTTGGTTCATTGATCCCACCCTCCTTGAAGCATTTCCTTCCCCGGCTTCTAGCATCACTAACATGTCACTTTGGTGTGTCCCAGGGTTGGGCCTTGACTTCTCTATCTAAACTCATTCCCATGTGCTGTTGTAGCTTCCTGGCTCTAAATCCTATCTCTGTTCTGATAGTCCCCAAATTCCTATCTTCAGTCTAGATTGGCCACTATACCTCAAGCTTCTGTGTCCTGCTACCTGCTCATCATCCTCACTCAAAGGTCTAAGAGATGTCCCAAACTGCACAGGTCTTAAACTGAGCTCCCAATCTTCCCCTAAACCTGCTCCTCCCAAACTTTCCTCAGCTTTGTCCTTCCTGCTCAGTCCAAAAGCCTCATACTCGTCCTTGATTCCTCTCTTTTTCCTCATACCCACAGTCAGTTGACCAGCAAGTCCTGTCAGGTCTACCTTTAAAATCTATCCAGAATTTAACCCCTTCTTCCCTTCTATGGCCCACACCTTAGTCTAAGCTATCATTATCTGTTTGGAATATTAAAAACCTGTTTGTTTTGTCAGCAAGTTCTTTGAAACATTTCTTATAAAAAAATCTAAGTTTCTTCTCCTTAAAACTGGATAGAACTTTGTGACCGCCTCCATAAACGGAATGCAGAGGAAGTGATACTGTTTTAAATTTCTAAACTGGATTAGAAAAGATAATACAATTTCCATGTGGCTCCTCTCGCTCTCTCTTTCTTGCTCTCTCAAGCCCTGGGCTACTATATAAAAAGTCCAGTTACCATGTTGGGAAGGGGTGTTTGTTACACAGGTGTGTGCACTTGTCAACATACAGTGAAATTTTTGAATTTCATTGTATATAAAGTTTACCTCAAAAAAAAAAAAGAAATATTGAACTGTAATTAAAGATATGCATGCTGAATTATTTAGGGGACAGCATACCAATGTCTAATTTATTTTGAAATACATTAAAAATTAGATTCAAGGATGAATAGAGTAATAGGTGGATGTGAATAAAGCAAACAGTAAAATGTTAATTATAAGATCTAAGTGGTGGATATATTGTAGATTGTTCAACTGTGCTGTATGTTAGAAACTTCATAATAAAACATTGAAGAATATATGATCAGGATTATTTGATAACTATTTTGAAAAAGGAGGATGAAATAGATTTTTGTAAAGAAGTAGTTTCTGTATATCACAGACATGGTATATATTTGTTTTCAGCTTTTTTAAACAATCCACACATTTAAATTAAACTAACAAGAAGGAAATAGATGTTTAGATATAAAAAAAATAAAAGATGTTTTTAGTAGAAGAACCTGATCTAGTTGGAGGGTGAGTAAAGCCTAGAAGGATTCCTGAGAAGCTGTGACAGGTAGAAATTAACTAGTTGACAGAGGGCTATTTTAATTACTATTGCTGGGTTACAAATCACCCCCAAAACTTAGTGGCATAAAACAGTCATGCACCAGGGCTCACATGATGAATTGGAACTATAGACTATAGTAAATACACATGATTTCCATGTGGCTTGGGCTTCCTCAAAACACGACTACCTCAGCATAACCATGTTTCTCACATACCTCAACACATCTAGAGCTAGTCATTCCAGTGGACAAGGAGGAAGCTGCATTGCCTCTTAACACCTAACCTTGGAAGTCACATTATCTTTCTATTTTTTTTAAAAAAATCATTACCCAAGGAGTGAGGATTTCCCCCCATTACTTTTAGAGAGTGAAGGGAGGGGCGTAGAGGGGGGGAGAGAGAAACATCCATGGACTAGGGGCATGGATGGGACCTGCAATTCAGGTATGTGCCCTTGACCAGGAATTGAACTGGTAACCTTCTGGTAAGTGGGCTGATGCTTAACCACTTAACATTGCTGGCCAGAGTGGAAGTCACATTCTCTATTAGTTGAAGTTGTCACAAATCTTTCCAGATTCAAAGGGGAGGGATGTACTTTCTACCTTTTCATGAGGGAAGTGTCAAAGGATTTGCAACCACCACAGAGGTTGAGTGGGAAAAGAGGACTACAGGTAGAGGGAACATCACACGGAAGGTATCTGCGATGGGAGTGAGGTCTGCAAATTTAATAAAGTGAGTAACTGTAAATTGACCCCTCCTCCAGTATTCCCCCCATCCCTGCTTACTTAAAAAAATGTGTTTTTTTTTTTTTATTGATTTCAGAGAGGAAGAGAGAGGGAAAGAGAGATAGAAACATCAATAATGAGAGTGAATCATTGATCGATTGCCTCCTGTATGCCCCATACTGGGAATCACAACCCAGGCATGTGCCCTGGCCAGGAATTAAACCATGACCACTGAGCCACACTAGCTGAGCCCTAATTTATCACCTAATATTCTATATTTTTAAATATTTGTTTTGTTCACTGTTTTCTCCCACTAGTTTTTTAGTTCCATTTTAGTTTTTTTAGGGCAGGGTACATTTTCTTGTTTTGTTTACTGATGTGTCCACAAATTAAGTAAGTGGTGTTTTTTTTTGTTTTTTAAATATATTTTATTGATTTTTTTTTTACAGAGAGGGATAGAGAGTTAGCAACATTGATGAGAGAGAACCATCGATCAGCTGCCTCTTGCACACACCCCACTGGGGATGTGCCCACAACCAAGGTAAATGCCCTTGACCAGAATTGAACTCAGGACCTTTCAGTCCGCAGGCCGACACTATCCACTGAGCGAAACCGGTATTGGCAGTAGGAGTTTTTTTAATGAATGAGTAGGTGGGTCAAGGGTGAGCCTTCTGAGGTGAAAGCCTTGTTGAAGGCATGAGCAATGAGAATTCTCTTTAAAGGGTATTGTTAGTGTTTTCTGAATCTGGCTCAGTCAGCAGGAAAGATTGAGATTGGCTTTTTGGGAGGCATGGTCATGTTCTGGCATTTTGAGCTAAACTTATTCCTAGGAAAAAGGCTGGAGGCTGACCTGTAATAAGCAGTAGAGAAAGCAAATAAAGTATCCAGTGGGTAGAGCCAAGACACAGAGTGCCTAGAATTATGTTCCAGGCAGGGCATTTGAGTCAGTGGAAAATGTCCATTGGCCAATGTGCTCAGTATTCTGACATTCAAGGTATGGCTTAGACAAAACCAGTTTGGCCCAGTGGATAGAGCGTCGGTCTGCGGACTGAAAGGTTCTGGGTTCGATTCCAGTCAAGGGCATGTACCTTGGTTGTGGGCACATCCCCAGTAGGGGGTGTGAAAGAAGCAGCTGATCGATGTTTCTTTCTCATCGATGTTTCTAGCTTTCTATCCCTCTTCCTCTCTGTAAAAAATCAATAAAAAATATATTTAAAAAAACTATCTTCATGTAAATAAAATATTTTTAAAAAAGGACTGAAACTGAAAAGCTGCTTGGGGATGGACAAAAGCCCTGAGCCCACGGGAGAATCCTGGTAGGAGTGTCGGAGGAGTGGTACCTAAGAATAGACTAAGGGGAGGGCCATTGCTTGGTGTTAGAAAAAGCAAAGCTTAAAGAACCTGGGGGGGGGGGGGGGGGCGGGCCTCAGGAGAAGAAAGACGGCGGATGAAAGGTCCTGGGCGCGGCGCTGTCAAACTCTTGGGGCGGGACCGAAGAGACCCAGCCGGGAACGCGTTCAAGCCGAAGCCAATGGAAAGCCGCCGGGTGGGCGGGGCGTCCTAGGCCGAGGGCGGGGCCAATGGAGCGGCGCCGCGCCCGCTGTCCCCGCCCCCGGGGTGAACGGCGGAGCGGCCGGAGGCGGAGACTACCGTGGCCCGCGCGCGGCTCGCGCCCTCCCCTTTGTGTCGCCATGGCGGCGGCTTCGGCGACGAGGACGACGATGGAGGGGTCTAGCGCGGCCAGCGCCTGAGGAGGCCTCGCGACCATGGTGGTGAGGGGCCTATGCGGCCGTCAGACCATCGCGTGGCAGTCTGTCCGTGCACGGCCCGGCCCCGCGCGCCCCGCCCCCGGCCCCGCCCGAGCCCGGGGCCTGCGCCTCCCCTCACCCCTCGTCCGGGTCCTCTGGTCCCGCAGCCTGGCCGGTCCGAGCCCTCACCCCGGCCCCGCCCTCTCAGCGTGCGTCTCCTTCCACCGCCCCGCGGGGTGTTCGTGGCCCAAGGCTTGGACTTGGAGGAGGAGGGGCAGGTCTCGGGAAGGATCCGGCATCTCCCCACCCCCGGTGGTCCTCGCAGGGGCCTGCGGAAGCTCCCCTGACTCCTCACTGCCCCATACGCGAGCCATCTTCATCGTCCTCATCCCAACCTCCACCCTTCCGGGCCTAGCCCCCTCCGCCTCCTCCCACCAGACACTTTTTCATTCTCGAGCCTCACCCCCACTCAGCTCCATCCTCAGCCTAACCCTTTTCTTCTCTTTATCATCATTTTCACCCAGCCCAGGCCCACTCAACCAAACCTCCCTTACTCCCATCAGCCTGAACCTTTACCTCACGCTTTCCAGCTGCTCCCCTCCTACGTACTCCACTCCAACCCCAGCACTGATCCTTGGATCCTCTCCATCTTGTCCTCATCCTCCCTCCCCTACCGGCTCCCTCTTCCACCATGCTGCTCCTGCTCATTCATCCATTCCCTCCCTTAACAGATATTCACTGAGACTTCTGCAAGCCCATGCTCTAGACACAGAAAGTTAGAACCCATCCTGCTTTGGGGAGTTTCATGGGTTGGAAAGGGACAGATCCGAGGGGGAGACCCAAGAATGAACTTGGGGTTGCAGGGATATGAAGGAGGGAGAAGCTAGAGCCAGTCCGGGAAATCCCCATCTGGCAGCTGGTTAATTCCTCAGATTTTATCCGGTCCCTGCTGGCAACTGGGCTGCTGAAGTTGGGCATGAGACCCATCGAGGAATCAGGCACAACCCTACCTGGGAGGAACACCAATTCTGTGTCCCCCCACTCCCCCTGTGCTGGGCAATGCTGAGGAGCTGGGGGCTTAGCTCCAGGCTGTGATGCTGAGAGGTCACAGTCCAATGTGGGAGATAGACTTGATGCCAGATGGTGACGTCTCAGAGTGCTCAGGGCTATGATGGGAAAAACCCAGGCAGAGTCATCAAACTAGAATGGAGGAACTTGAGGGGATGGGAGAGTCCAGAAGAGGTGACTGATACAGTCTGAAGGGTCAGGGAGCCATTGAAGGTCCATGATCTGTGAAGAGACAGGCAGATTTGTGTTGTGTGAAAATTATACTATGCTTCTGTTGAGATGCTGGTAGGAGGGGAGAGGTTGGAAGCAGGAAGACTGATAAACTGGGAGCTGTGGTTGTCCAGACAGTGATGCGTGGAGAGGTGCAACTGGAAGATGACTGTACTCTGCAGGGGCTACAGGAGTATAATCCAGAGAGATGGTACCAGCCTTCTTTCTTCCTGCCTCACCCTTGGCCCCTCCTCTTCTAGCCACTCACCCCAGACCACACAGGAAGATGAAGAGCTGTCCTCATCTGGTCTTCACCTCCCCCTGGTCTCTGCTCCTCCATGCTCAGGGCAGTGTATGGAGTGATTCAGGCCTCTAGGCTCAAGGTGGCAGATAACAATGCTCCTGCTGTTTCTGCTCCCATCCCTGGGGACCTCTGATTCTTCTTTTTGCTCTACACAGGCCCGTAGCACTGACAGCCTGGATGGCCCAGGAGAGGGCTCAGTGCAGCCCCTGCCCCCCACTGGGGGTCCCAGTGTGAAGGAGAAGCCTGGGAAGAGGTGAGAAGTGAGGGAGAGGCCCAGCTTAGGAGGGGGCCAAGCAAAGGAGCCACTAGTGATGTGTCCCCTGTCTTCCAGGCTCTCGGCTCCTCGAGGTCCCTTTCCCCGGCTGGCTGACTGTGCCCATTTCCATTATGAGAATGTTGACTTTGGCCACATTCAGGTATGAGGGTTTTCACCCAGGTGGGAAGATGAGATCCCACCCTACCCCTGAGATCTGTCCCTGGGACTGGCTGCTCTACCCATCTGAGAAGTCGGTGGCAGGAGTTACAGGGCGGGAAGGAAGAGCTGTTCATCATTCATCATTTGTTCCTTTATTCATTTTGCAACAACTTTTTGTTAGGTGTGTGCTCTGTGGCATCACTAGGCCCTGCCCTTGGAGAGCACAGCCCCATCTCTAGATAGTGCCAACTTGGAGAGGTTAGGACAGGAACAAAAGTGAGACCCTCCCCTGGGCTTTTCTTTCCTTCTACAGCTCTTGCTTTCTCCAGAGCGTGAAGGCTCTAGCTTCTCTGGGGAGAATGAGCTGGTGTTTGGGGTGCAGGTGACCTGTCAGGTAAGGCCACTCTGCCTCTCATCTGGCCTATCGGACTGGTTGCCATGGTCCTCAGCTCAGTGAAATAGGACCACTGCCCCTTTTTGTCCCTCACCCTCCCACAGGGCCGTTCTTGGCCAGTTCTTCGCAGTTACGATGACTTCCGTTCCCTGGATACCCACCTCCACCGGTGCATATTTGACCGGAGATTTTCCTGCCTCCCAGAGCTTCCCCCACCTCCAGAGGGCGCCAAGGCTGCCCAGGTAAACTGCTGGTTATCCCATCCCTGCCTCAGCCATGATGTGTCCTCATCTTCGATGTGTGAAACCATCAAGGCAGGAGGGATTGATAAATATTTAATCAGGTGTATGGCCTTACTCCCAACCTATCAGAATGGAGAGACCATAGGACTGCAGCAAGGTTCTGGAGCCCCTCTTTAGTTTTAGGATCATAAAGACTTCCAGGGAGTTCCATGGGAGGATCAATATGGCCAGACCAATGGAAGCACACAGGAGCTTGATGTTGTCTGTTACCAACTACTATGACAGTATTTAGTACTTAACAGTAGAGTGGCACCCATGCATTGAGGGTTGAATTTCTGTCCTGCTTGGAGACAAGCTAAGGCAGTATAGAAGGGCAATGGGCTCTCTCAGGGGTCTCCTCACAAGGCCCCCCTGACAATCTAACCACAGATGTTGATGCCGCTGCTGCTGCAGTACCTGGAGACCCTGTCAGGACTGGTGGACAGTAACCTCAACTGTGGGCCCGTACTCACCTGGATGGAGGTGGGCCCGGGCAACGGGGCTCGAAGTTGGGAGGGAGGGAGGGATGTTGGAAGAGTGAGAACCAGCCTGGGAGTGTGTGTGGGCACAGGAAGGAAATGAGCCGGACAGGAGGAGACACTTTCAGTGTCTGTTTGGGTGTATGTCTGTTAGAATGAGCGTTTGTGTGTGTGTGTGTGTGTGTGTGTGTGTGTGTGTGTGTGTTAGCAGGTGTTGGGCTATGGGGAGAATTTCAAGGTATACCAAATGGTTTTGGCTTTAACTCACAGAAGAATGCCTGACTAAGAGTGACTTAAACCAGCAGTTTTTAGATAGCAGATATGCAGTGTCTGCTATGGATGGTGAGGGTGCAGAGGTGTATCAGGAGGACTTCACGGTAGAGGAATCCTGAGGCATGTAAGAGGAAGGAAGGGGCCTTGTTTTGGAAGGGGCATGAATTTAGGTGTTTGATCAATAGCTCTGAGTGGTTGGGGCTCTTAGATGTGGAGCAAGTAGTGGCCTGCACTGGGCTTAGAAGAGCCTTCTCTGCCTTAATTATGTATTACCTTCTGCCTCTCCCTGCCACATTCACCCTCCACCTCAGTTGGACAACCATGGCAGGCGACTGCTCCTCAGTGAGGAGGCCTCCCTCAATATCCCTGCAGTGGCTGCTGCCCATGTGGTGAAACGGTACACAGCTCAGGCACCAGACGAGCTGTCCTTCGAGGTGAGGCTGTGGGGGGCGGGGCACACTCCATCTGGACTTCCCTCTTCCGGCCACTTCTGACCCTCCGTCATCTCATCTGCCCACTCCTAGGTGGGAGACATTGTCTCTGTGATTGACATGCCGCCCACAGAGGATCGGAGCTGGTGGCGAGGCAAGCGAGGCTTCCAGGTGAGCCTGGGTTGGGCAGACTGGTGGGGCTAGGGCACTGTGCTAGCTAGGCTGGCCCAGGCACTGACCCTGAACCCTCTGCAGGTCGGTTTCTTCCCCAGTGAGTGTGTGGAGCTATTCACAGAGCGGCCCTGTCCGGGACTTAAGGGGGGTAAGTGCCAGCGGCAAAGTGGGGAATCCTTCCTGCATCCTTTGCCTGCTGTCCATCCTTTCCACCCATAGTTCACCCCACAGATGCCGATGGTCTCCTGTGTGGTGTTCCGGCTCCCCAGGGTGTCTCCTCTTTGACCTCAGGTAATGGAAATAAGAGGCTATGTCCCTGCCTCGTTCCCAGCGGACTGATAACTGCACTGACCCTGTGTGACCTGCTTTTACTCACAGCTGTGCCCCGGTCACGTGGGAAGCTGGCTGGCCTCCTTCGTACCTTCATGCGCTCCCGCCCTTCTCGGCAGCGGCTGCGACAACGGGGTATCCTGCGGCAGAGGGTGTTTGGCTGCGACCTTGGAGAGCACCTCAGTAACTCAGGCCAGGACGGTGAGGTCCGAGCCCACCTGCCTAGCCCACCCTCCCACCCAGGATTTGACCCGCCCATTCCTGACCCCACTGCTTTCTCCCAGTGCCCCAGGTGCTTCGCTGTTGCTCTGAGTTTATTGAGGCCCATGGGGTAGTGGATGGAATCTACCGACTCTCAGGCGTGTCATCCAATATCCAGAGGCTCCGGTGAGGGCCCTCCACCAACCTCTTCCCTCCACAAACACTTATTGAACATCATTTCTAGTCTAGGCCCCATGCCATGTGCTGGTGACAAGGGTTCTTGGGAGTTGGGAGGGCATCTAACGGTTGGATCAGGGCTGTGGACAGGGAGGGCTTCTTTGAGGCCTGAAAGGTGAGAGCAGAATGAGTGTTGCAAGTAGAGAGATAACCTTCACTGAGTACTTGCTACCTGCCAAACACTGGGCAACTGAGGACCAGAGATTCCCACCCTCACATGCTAGAGGTAGAGACAAACAAGGAAATGAGAGAGTTTACTCGAAGATGACAAGGGCTATGGAGAAAAAGAGATGGGCGGTAAGGAGAATCATAATAGTAAATCTGGGAGGGATAGTGCAGCGTTAAATAGGGTGGGCAGTGAAGGCCTCTTGGAGGAGAGCTCCTTTTGGAGGAGGGGAAGGAGTGAGCGAGCCATGTGGATATTCTGGGAAAAGCATTCATGGCAGTCCAAAAGGCAAAGTAGCAGGACATGATGTCTAAGAAGTAATTAGGGGCAGTGTGTGCAAGACCTTTTTTTTTTTTTTTTTTAATTTTATTGATTTTAAAGAGGAAGGGAGAGGGATAGAGAGATAGAAGCATCAATGATGAGAATCATTGATTGGCTGTCTCCTGCACGCTCCCTACTGGGGGTCGTGTCCACAACCTGAGTATGTACCCTTGGCTGGAATCGAACCTGGGACCCTTCAGCCTGTAGGCCAACACTCTTATCCACTGAGCCAGACCAGCCAGGGCTGTGCAAGGCCTTTTTAACAACTGTTTGGATTTTGGCTTTTACACTGGAGGGTTCTGAACTGAGGAGACATGCCAGTCTAAGAGGTGGGAAGGAGTGGGGCACAAGTGTTGAGACTGACAGGAGGTCCTGAAGTGAGAGTAGAGAGCCCAGAGGTGTGAGAGATACAGCATGAGTTCATGTGCATTGAGCATTTCCTTTCGCGCAGTGAGACACAACCAGACAATTGTGAGGAGGGGCTACTGGGATTTCAGCCAGTTTTCCAGTGACTTCTTGAAGTCAGGAGAATGGCATTATGTGCTGGAAGTAGCAGGGCTGTGCTCTGGAATCAGGTAGCCTTGGGCAGCTGCAGGAGGGACACCTCCCACCTGAGCTTCAGTGTCTTCCTCTATGAAAGAGCGCCCCTGCCTTTGGCAGGCAGGGTTATTGCAGAGGAAGTAAGCTTGTCTTTTGAGGAGCACAGTGCAGGAAGAGGGTCACATCCATCTGTGGACAGTGGGTATGGGGTGCACAGCCAGGCGGACCAGCTCTGACACGAGTCTTTCTTCTCTTCGACCTGGTGGCCTCAGGCATGAGTTTGACAGTGAGAGGATCCCTGAACTGTCTGGCCCCACCTTCCTACAGGACATTCACAGTGTGTCTTCTCTCTGCAAGCTCTACTTCCGAGAGCTGCCCAACCCCCTGCTCACTTATCAGCTCTACGGGAAGTTCAGTGTGAGTAAAGGAGGGTGAGGTTGGAGGGTGCTGGGATGCATTGGGCCAGTCCCCATCATGCCTGTGCACAATCTCAGGAGGCCATGTCAGTGCCTGGGGAGGATGAACGCCTGGTGCGTGTCCATGACGTCATCCAACAGCTGCCCCCGCCACACTATAGGTAAACCAGGAGGGGTAGGGAAGGGCTGTGGTGGGCTCACAAGGGAGTTAAGGCTCAGGTGTCCCCTTCCACTCTCATCCCAGGACCCTGGAGTACCTGCTGAGGCACTTGGCCCGCATGGCAAGACACAGTGCCAAAACCAGCATGCATGCCCGCAATCTGGCCATTGTCTGGGCACCCAACCTGCTACGGTAAGCTGGCCAGCCTGTCACCTGCAGTTCCCTCTCATGGGCTGAGCCCCAGTCTCCCCCTACTTCTACAGCTACCCTAGGGACTCGCCCAACTTTTGTTTCTCTTGTTCATTTCATTCACCATGTACTTCAGCACTGGGGATGGAGTAGTGAGCAAGATCCTGGACTCCTGGGCTCATATTCTCACAGGAAGGTGGACAGTGAACTAGTAATAAGGAAACAGAGAATGATCTGATAGTAGTGAGTGGCAAGGATAAAGATTACAAAGCAGGGAAGGGGCATGCACAGGGTTATGGCATTTTGGGATGTGTAGGTGGTAGGGAAGGCTTCAGTAAAAAGTTTTTGATAGCTAGCAGCACAGAAAGCCAGGCAAGCTCTCTGTCCTAAATAAAATATGTGGTGGGTATAAGAACTATTACAGGGGGGTGGGGGGGTGGGGAGACAAAGATAGACCTGGAATCAGAAAGTTTACAATTTTAAATAAGGTAGATGGGGAAGACTCCACTGAGAGAGTAACATTTGAGTTAAGAACTGTAGCAAGTAAGATCTGGGGAAGAGTAAACCAGACCAAAGGAACAATGAATTGCAATGGTCCTGAGGCTGGGTCAGGAGGAACAGTGGGGAGGCCATTGTGGCTGGAACTGAGTGAGTGAGTGAGTAAGGGGCTGACGGGGAGGAGATGATGTTAGGTAGGTGATGGGGACCGGGATAGAGGAGGAATGACTTATAAGTTGTGAGTCATGTGAGGACTGCTTTCGCCAGGAGGTGTTCCCAGCTTCCTCCACCTCTGCATGAGCAGCAGAATGGGGGTGGGGGAGTGGGGTGGGACCAGAAGACCAGAGAGGAGGTGGCTGTGATAGCCAGGAGGGAGAGGATGGAGGGTGGGGCAGTAGATGGGAAGAACAGTTTAGATTCTGGACAGATTTTGTGGGAGGAGCCCACAAGGTTTTTAGGCAGATTGGATGTGGGTGTGAGGGAAAGAGAAGTAAAGGACAATACCAAGGTGTCTTGCCTGAACCACTAAAGGACTGCATTGACTGAGATGGGGAAGGTGGTGAGGGAGCAAGTTGGGGAAAAGTTGAGAACCAAGTTGTTTGGTTCTCAATTTGATAAAATCAGAGCTGCTGTTGAATGACAGTCTTTGCTTCTATTAGCTCTCTACCTAACCTAGTCACAACCCTCCCCCTCCTCCAGCTGTGGCTCAAGGCACCTGACCTCTCTCTCCCTCTCCCATTCAGGTCCATGGAGCTGGAGTCAGTGGGGCTGGGTGGGGCAGCAGCCTTCCGTGAGGTGCGGGTGCAGTCAGTGGTGGTGGAATTCCTACTCACCCATGTGGATGTCCTGTTCAGTGACACCTTCACCTCTGCTGGCCTCGACCCTGCAGGTATGCTCATCCAGTCTCCTGATGTCCTGGCTATTGCCTCATTGTCAGGACTGCAGTGGGAGGGCAGGGGGCTCCCAGCCCTGTCCCTACCCACTGAAGCTATACCTCCTTCCTGGCTCCTTGAGGACCCCGCCCCGGCCTCTCCCTCCCCTCCCCACCCTTCTCATTTCAGCTCCTACGCTCAGGATCCCTACTTCTTGGCCTGGACATCGTTCTTCCTCCACCCCTTGTAGCTCCTGGGGGTGCTTGGGGCCAGAGGTCCTCCTGGGAGGAGGTGGGAGGTCCCCAGACTTGACCCTGCCCAGGCCCCACCCAGACTCCCCACCCTGCCCCGGACCCCAGCCCAATCAGGATTCAGCACATCGGAGGGCCCTCTGGCCCGAGGTAACTGAAGCCAGAGCCACTGCCTTTGCTGGCTGCTGGGAGCTGCCTCATCAGCTGGTTCTGCCTCATTCCTGCTCACCTGCCTGCTGCCCACTCATTCCCACCTGATCCTCTCTGGTTCCCTGCCTTGCCAGCCAGGGTGGGGGTTATGCTTTGGGGCCGGAGCTTGGGCAGTAGCGCTTAGCTTTACCTGTTGTTGCCTTGAATGTTCCCTGGGCTGACAGCTGCCCACTTTCCCAACTCCCCAGGCCGCTGCCTCCTTCCCAGGCCCAAGTCCCTTGTGGGCAGTGGCCCCTCCACTCGCCTGTTGACACTGGAGGAAGCCCAGGCTCGCACCCAGGGCCGACTGGGGACACCCAATGAATCCATAGCTCCCAAGGCTTCAGACTCTCCTGTGGAAAGGTAAGTAGGATACAGGGGAGAGGTGGAACTAGCCTTGAGGTCCCAGCTCCTCAGACTGCCTCCTGTGTCTCACCCAAATCCCAGGAGGAAGGGGGAGAGAGGCCAGAAACAGCGGAAGCCAGGCGGTAGCAGCTGGAAGACTTTCTTTGCACTGGGCCGCGGCCCCAGCATTCCTCGGAAGAAGCCTCTTCCCTGGCTGGGGGGGATGCGCGCCCCACCACAACCCTCAGGTCAGAGGTCGGGCAGTCAGCGTGGTGGGGGGAGACACTCTGGAGTGCCTCTGTGACCCTTCTAGTCTCCTTGCAGGCAGCCGACCTGACACAGTCACACTGAGATCTGCCAAGAGTGAGGAGTCTCTGTCATCTCAGGCCAGCGGGGCTGGTGAGCTCGGGGTGGCCTGGCCTGTGGCGGGGTGGAGCCTTCAAATGCTGTACTTCAAGTTTGGGGGTTTGGGTGGTTTTTTAGTTTTTAATTTGGACATTGGGTATAATGAATTGGATAAAGCATCACCCTTAGTTCATGACACACTATGATCAATGGTTCATACAGGGTCCTTTCAAACAGTCTTATTCATTCCTTTTAAAAAAATGTAAATAATATAATGAATACCCATGCTCCCATTGGCCAGAGCTAAAAAAACCCCCACTACCTTATCTTCAAGCTCCTCCCCTCTCATACCTGCTGCCTATCCACCAGAGGCATCCTCTTGATTAAATGTCATCATCTTCATTGATTTTTTTGTTTGTTAATTCTCACTGGAGGATATTTTTTCCATTGATTCCTTTTTTTTTCTTCTTTTTAAAAAATATATTTTATTGATTTTTTACAGAGAGGAAGAGAGAGGGATAGAGAGCCAGAAACATTGATGAGAGAGAAACATTGATCAGCTGCCTCCTGCACACCCCCCACTGGGGATGTGCCCGCAACCAATGTACATATTCTTGACCGGAATCGAACCTTGGACCTTTCAGTCCCCAGGTCAATGCTTTATCCACCGAGCCAAATCAGTTTCGACCTTTTTTTTCTTTTAAGAGCTAGTAGAAGAGAAGGAGGAGAGTGGGTGAGAAAAAGGAGATAGAGAAACAGCTATGTGAGAGACACATCGATTGGTTGCCTCCTGCATGCATGTGCCCTGACTAGGGCCAGGGATCAAACCTGCAACCAAGGTACATGCCCTTGACTGGAAATTGAACCCAGGACTCTAGTGAGTGGGCTTAGCTCTAACCACTTAGCAACACTGGTCAGGGCTGTCATCCTTGGATTTAAGGTTTTATGTGTAGATATATACATAAACATTGAGCCGTTATAGTCATTTTAAAATGTCAATTAAAGGTATCATAAGAAAGGGTAGTGCTGTATGTGAAACTTGACTTCATTCACCACTGCATTACAGATACCATCGTATTGCCAGGTGTAGCTCAGACTCACTCCTGCCTGCTGATCTTTAGTGTTCCATGTGGATATTTCATTGGAAGTTGCTTGTCCATCCCACTCCTGATGGATTTGGGGCTCTATGGGTGCTCCCTGCCATGCCCACACTCCTGAGAGAGCTCTACCTAGGGTATACTCATGTTCAGCTGAACAAGAAAATGTCCAATTGTTTTCCAAACGTGGTCGCCCCAGTCTGTACTCCCAGCCTTGGTTGGGATCCTGTTGGTCTCATGCTCACAGCCATGGGGTTGCCAGACTATTCTGGCCCTTGAGTCTGGAATGGTTTTCCCGAGGGCCTTGCCATTCATTTCCTTTGTCACTGTGAGTCTAAACAGCTCTCCCTGGATTCACAGCCATGTGGCCCTACCCACGGAAGTGCCTCTGCATGCTATTTTCTCAGCCTCCTGGGTTGTGTGCCCTGTTCTCACTAATGTGTGGGTATGTAAACTTTTGAGCCCTGACCCCTAACTGCCCCCTCCCCCCTAGGCCTCCAGAGGCTGAGCAGGCTACGGCGACCCCACTCGAGCAGTGATGCTTTTCCTGTGGGCCCAGCACCCGCGGGCTCCTGTGAGAGCTTGTCTTCCTCCTCCTCTGCGTCCTCCTCCTCCTCTGCGTCCTCAGCAGCTGGGCTCGGGGCACTTTCCGGCTCCCCTTCTCACCGAACTTCAGCCTGGCTAGATGATGGTGATGATCTGGACTTCAGCCCACCTCACTGCCTGGAGGGGCTCCGGGGGCTCGACTTTGATCCCCTTACCTTTCGCTGCAGTAGCCCTACCCCAGGGGACCCTGCACCTCCTGCCAGCCCGGCCCCCCCAGCCCCTGCTTCTGCCTTCCAACCCAGGGCAACTCCCCAGGTCCTTTTGCCCCATGGGCCCACCAGCTCTGCTTCACCCACTGCCCTGGACATCTCAGAGCCCCTAGCTGTATCAGTGCCACCTGCTGTTTTGGAGCTGCTAGGGGCTGGGGGAACACCTGCCTCACTCACCCCAACACCAGCACTCAGCCCCAGCCTAGGCTTGTGCCCCCATGCCATCCCCCTGCTACCACACGGAGCTGAAACCCAGCTGAGTGACACCTGTCCACAGGAGATCTGCAGCACCCTAGCACTACCCGGTCCTGGGGAAGCCCAACGACAGCATGGTAAGTCCTCAACCCATCCAACACCCTCACAGTCCCTGAGGCTGCATCCAAGACCTGGCTGATGCCCCTTCCCATTCCTCTCTGTATAGGGCCTGTCATGGATTCACCACTGCTGCCCCCACCCCTATCCCTCCTGCGCCCCGGGGGGGCCCCACCTCCGCCCCCCAAGAACCCAGCACGTCTCATGGCCCTGGCCCTGGCTGAGCAGGCTCAGCAGGTGGCCCAGAGACAGAGCCAACAGGAGCATGGGAGTACCCCATCTGCTTCTCGCTCCCCTTTCTACTGCTCACTGTCCCTGGAGGTGGGCGGTGAGCCCCTTGGGACCTCAGGGAGTGGGCCACCCGCCCCCTCCCTACCCCACCCTGATGCCTGGGCTCCAGGACCCCCACCCTCCCTACCACGACAACGAAGTGTTGGGAGCCTGGTGAGGAGCCAGCGGCCCATGGGGATCTCAAGGAGGGGACACAGAAGCTCTGCCCAGGTCAGTGCCCAGCTCAGGAAGGGTGGGGGGCTTCAGGGCTGTGCCAGAGACATTGGCCCATTTCCTATGTTGTGTCTCCTTACAGGTTCTTTCTTCTGTGAGAACCCCTGGCTGCTTCTCCTCAGCTCCCCAGGAGTGCCTGCCACCTTTTCTTGGGGTCCCAAAACCAGGCTTGTATCCCCTGACCTCCTCCTTCCAGCCCAGTTCCCCAACCCCAGTCTGGAGGAGCCCTTTGGGTCCCCCTACACCACTTGACAGGGGCGAGAACCTGTACTATGAGATTGAGGCGGGTGAGGGGTCCCCCTACTCTGGCACCACCCAGTCCTGGAGTCCCTTTCGCTCCATGCCACCAGATAGACTTAATGCCTCATATGGCATGCTTGACCAATCACCACCATTTCATAGGTCCCCTGACTTCCTACTCAGCTACCCCCCACCCCCCTCCTGCTTTCCCCATAACCACCTGGGCTATTCAGCCCGGTGCCCCACTCGGCCTGAGCCCCTCTATGTCAACCTAGCCCTAGGGCCCAGGGGTCCCTCATCCACCTCTTCCAGCTCCTCTTCCCCTCCTGCTCCTCATCCCCATAGCCATTCAGATTCAGGCTCCACAGCCCCCCACCTTCCTCAGAAAGAGAGGGCTCCCTGGGAACCCCACACCCCTCACAGGGTGCCTGGGGCCTGGGGCTCTCCTGAGCCTCTCCTATACTACAGGGCAGCTCCACCAGCCTATGGGGGGCAGGGCAAGCACCACCGAGGGTCCTTGTACAGGAATGGAGGTCAAGGAAGGGAGGGGGCTGGTCCCCCACCCCCTTACCCCACTCCCAGCTGGTCCCTTCACTCTGAGGGCCAGACCCGAAGTTACTGCTGAATCAGAGCAGAGACCTTCCTCCCTTTCCTTCTCACTGATCTTGGCCCAACCCAATTCCTTGTTTTGTATTTTCTTGAGCTCCTGACCCCTATTCCAGGTTTCTAACTTTGTAACTTGCTTCTGATGTGGATCCCTAACTTGTATGGCTTCCCTACCCTGGACTAAAGGCACACTAACCCCCACCAACCTCTATCATGGGGCTCTCACACAAATCTGAGGGCTAGGCTGACACACTGTCCTTCCTCTGCCTCCAGGAGCCCCAGCATGTCTTGACCTTCGCACAGGGGTTGGGGGACAGCTCCTGCCCGTCACCCACATGCCCCACTAAACGATCTGACAAAATTAATGAATAAAAATGGTGAAAATGTGGCTGTTAGTGTCATGCTGGGACTAGGCTCAGTGAACAAAGAGGCAATAGGTTGCTTTATCATTTTTAAAAAATATATATTTTACTGATTTTTTACAGAGGAGAAGGATAGTTAGAAACACTGATGAGAGAGAAACATTGATCAGCTGCCTCCTGCACACCCCCTACTGTGGATGTGCCTGCAACCAAGGTACATGTCCTTGACCGGAATCGAACCTGGGACCCTTCAGTATGCAAGCCATCGCTCTATCCACAGAGCCAAGTCAGTCAGGGCTGCTTTATCATTTTTGTTTAAATATGTATTTATTGATTTTAGAGAGATAGAAACATTGATGAGATAGAAACATTATCAGTTGGCTGCCTCCTGAACACACCCTTCTGGGAATCAAACCTGCAACCTGGGCATATACCCTGACTGGGAATGGAACTGGTAATCTCTTGGTTCATGGATCAACGCTCAACCTCTGAGCCAAACTGGCTGGGCTGCTTTATCATTTTATCACTTCAGCAGGTGCTGAGTGGGGAGTCCCTCTTGAGATACTCTTAGGGATTGGTAACTGCAGAGGGGCTGTGGATATCTTAAGAATCTGTGTCAGGAGTGGGATTCAGGCTGGGCCTGTCTCTGAATTAGCATCCACCTTGCAGCTCTGCTATAATCTCTAGCAGATCCATCCTGGGGAGTAGTGGGGAAGGGATGGACTAAGGGTTACCTTAAGTATGAGGAAGGGGCCCCTGGGCCCTCCTACCAGGGCCCATTTCTCACTGGTACATGCTGAAGAAGAGACCTCCTCTCTGCTCAGGGCTGGCTCTAGCGGAAAAGGCAGTATCTGCTACCAGTAGACATGAGGCTCAGGATAGACCTGGCGGTGTTTGGCGGGGAGGGGAGGTGAGGAGTCTGGTCCAGGGCATGATCTCAGGGTCTTCTGCTTCACCTGCACTGGTGGCCTCTGTCAGCAGCTTCCAGGGTATGGGAAGCCTCTGTAGGTCAGCAGGCTCCGAGGGCTGGGGTCCAGCAGGGCAGCTCTGTGCTGCCACAACCCCTACATCACTGGGATTTTGGCTGAGACCTGCACCAGAGCCCTGGCTGCCTGGCAGGGAAGTTGGGTCCTGAAGGCTTGGGTGCAGGGCAGAGCCCTGGGGGAGCAGGGTTGGTCAGGGCTCATAGGCCAGTGAGGGGACAGTTGGGAGTCTCAGGAAGTGGTTCCTGCTCAGAGGAGAGGCAGCCAAAGAAACGTGACTACTGAGGAGATGGGTCACAAGTTAGGGATTGAATGGTCACACAGATCTTTAGGGATATCCATACTGGAGCTGGGCTCCAGGCAGTGGTGCAGGCTCACCCTGGTTGTGCGGCTGTGGCCTAGGCAAAGGTCAGAGCTGGGACTGGTGCTGCTGCCAGAGTCTTAGGCTGGGCTCCTCTGGACTCGTCTGTGGCCTGTGACCTCAGGAGTCTCCAAGGCCATCAGAGAGCTGGAATGGGTGGCCGAGGTGCCCCACAGCTCCCTTTGATTCTCCACATCCCTGCCCTAGCTCCTGCCTGGAATAGGGAGGGGCCTCGGGATGTCACAGGCCTGAGCGTAGTCTTACCTCTGGGAGCCAGCTCATAGTACAGCATCACTGGGGGTCAAACCAGTTGGTTGGAATTAGTACAGCCGAGCTGTGCATAGCACCTGCCACCACCCCTCTTTGCTCTCTAAACTGGTGTGGAACCCTGGAGTGCAGGGCACAGTGTGGTCCAATCCATCAGAGAGCTCACCCCAGGAGCCAAATCCTGCTGGATGTGGGAACATGAGCCCTGTGGAAGGTTCCCCGGCCACTACCCACCCCTTCCAACCTGACCTGTACCTGGGCCGAGGCGTCCTACAGCAAGTATCAGGTATTCTGCAACTGCCCACCAGTCAGCAGGCTCGGTCCAGCCCAGCCCGAACCAAGGCCTGGTAGGAGGGTGGCCCAGGGGTTCCAAGGCCAGGCTCTAGAATGCCTTCAGATTAGCCTTTACCTCAAGCCCTTTTCCCGTCCACCTCTCTTATGAGGAAGCATGATTGGAGGACCCAAACCGGTTCCCTGACCAGTGAAGGCCTCCTGGGCCTGGGTGCAGAAGCTGTAGAGGTCTGAGGTGGCCACAGGCGTATCACTGCACATGAGCTCAAGTGGCAGCCCTGGGTAGTTAAGGAGGTGGTGTAGTCTTGGGCCTGGGCCTCCCCAGAGGTAGGCCTGTGGAGAATGAAGGGCCTGCTAAGCTACTGGACACTGGGCAGGCAGGTGAGACATGTACTCACCTGGGCTGCAGTCAGCACAGGTGTATGGGTGCCCATGCTCTAGGCTGCCCACTTTGGCCAGGCCTGGCTTCACCAGCTGCACAGGCGAACTGAGGCTGCCATGAGCATGCCAATGGGCCTGCAGAAACAACACAGCCTCTGGCCTGCAGTAGTAGTGGCCGGGCAGCAGGCCTGGCTTAGTATGAGACTGCCCCTAGCTGGTCCCTGCGTGTGCAGGGAGCTCAGCCATATGGGCTTGAAGAGAAAGTGCAGCCCCACCAGGCCTGCTGTAGGGATCAGTGCCATCAGCAGCAGCAGGTCCGGTGGTGCAGGGTGCTAGGTGGGCCAAAGAGGCCCCAATCTAAATGGGGTGGAGGCTGCCCCTGGGCACAGATCACCATGATCAGGGGCTGCTGATCTATACCAGCCACTGGACAGAAGAGAAACAGCCTGGCTGCCAGAGAGCAAGCACCCATTTTATACTGTTTGTCACACACCTCCTGTGTGCAGCCTGAGACAACACAGAACTGGGTACCCACTCTTCAGTAGGAGGACTCCATGCCAGGTACTGGTCCAGAAGTGAAGACTGTAACCACGGCCATTGCCATACTCCCTGGTCTTTGTTTATAAACACATGAGTTAGGCAAGCAGGAGACTAGGTTGGCCTGTGGAGAAGGGTAGGGTGGCATACCTGTAGTGCTGAAGGTCAGCCAACAGTACATCAGCCTGGGTTCCAGAGGCTTCAGTTGCCACGCTCTGACTGGAGATGGGGAGGGCAGAGTGTATGTCTGAGACGAAAGGGCTTTCCTTGTGAGGCGACCAGGAGGCCTGCATTCTCCGGAGTGCTCTTCTTAACTGCCAGGCAGGGGTGTGGGAAGAGCTCTTTCTCACTTGACGATTTGTGTGAGAGCTGGTGCAGCAGGGCTCGCCTAAGCTGGCAGCTGCCCTTTGGGGCCCATGAGGGGTATACTGATTAGCCCCAGTGGCCACAGGCTGCTCAGCTGAGGAAAGGTTCGGGACTATACGGCATGAAGAGAGAGTGGTGCTCCCTGCTCCCCCAACCTCTTCTGACTGAACCCCAAAGCTGGATTTGGGGGGGGGGGGGGTGTCTCCTGATTTGCTCTGGCCTTAATACCCTGGGGTAAAGGGCAGTCTGAGGATAAATCTGGGTAGCTTGGAGTGGTGACTAAACAGTGTGGACAGTTACCTGTCTGCACCAGCCACAGCAAGGACAGGGAGCCACACAGGCTGTCTAGAGCCAGTCTGCAATTGGCCCAGTGATGCAGTGCATGCCAACTCACTGCCCTGCGCTGGTGCTAATACGTGGGAATGACAGGGCTGTAATATCTCAAGCTCCTGCGTGAGGGGCACATGAGGTAAGATAGGGTGAAGGAGCTGCCCTGATGCTCCCACTCCACTTGGGCCACTGCCTACCTGCTGGCTCTGCTTGGCACCTAACTTCTCTGCCCAGTCCCAAGGAATGGAATTCATGCAGCTGCAGGTCACCCCCCACCTGCAGCACAGGCCATACCGCCAGGCTGTAGCCCAAGAAGACATCTGTGTGCACAAGTGTGCTGCAATTGAGGCAGCAGCTGAACAACATGAATGGATTAGAAAAGGGACCAAACAGACAAGTGGCAGAATGGGAGCACTGAGGGACGAAGAGTCACTGTGAACATAGAAGGCTGATATCAGGACAGGAGTGATAGCTTGGGAACACAGTGGGGTCTTTGAAAGGATGAGAGGATCACTATGAGCATGGGAGGCATCAGGAGAATGGGAATAATCACTGGAGGACAAGAAGGGGTTAATTGAGAGGTCAAGAGGGGTCAATGGGGATGGGAGGGTCATCAAGGAGTGAGAGGCCTCTGGGAAAGAAGTCCCTGGCGCTGGGGCTCAGACTCACGGCCCTGGGAGTATGGGGGCATCACCACCTGCCCACTTATTGGTTTGGGTTGGCACCAAGGGCCAGCAGGAGCTGCATGGTAGGGCTGTGGCCCAACAGCACTGAGAGGAAGAGCACTGTTTGCCAAGCAGAGTTCTCACCATCTACCTAGATAACTGAGGGGCAGCGAAGCTTAGGACTGCCCCTGCCCCTCACTCCAGGCAACACTTTTGCCAATTCTCTGTCCCTGCCGGGGTTACCTTGATCCCAGGTACCATTCCTATGTCCTGGAACCCCTACCCTTCAGCCTCAGGATCCGTCTCAACCCAGTGCTCACCATTCAGTCCAGAGTGTTGGAACAAGGGATGACATTTACCTGCCATGCAGACATCTATGCCCCATCACAGAGGTGTCAACATCACAGAAAGGTCCTCAGGGGCCAGGGAGACAGTGGACTTTGTGGGGACATGAGCCTCATGCGCTGGGCAGGGACACAGCCTTCACCTAGCTCTAATTCAGTGCATGTGCAGGTCCTGCCAATTCTTCAAGGAAAGCAAACTCTGGGTTTTATCAGGAAATCTCTCAAGTTTACTTTGAACACTACATGTAAGGCAGAATCCAGGAAGCAGCCCCCTTAGCACCTCTGCCTCTATGCCCTCGCTAATTCCCTACCCAATATCCTGCTCAGATCACCCTCCCAAGCCCTCATCTCTGCATCCATCAAGCCCCAACCCCATTTCTATGCACCCATTATCTCAGAGTTCCTCTTTTCAAGGCCCTATCCCGTATTTCAGGAACAGTACACACAAGTTCAACTTGGCCTTGAACTCCTATGTCCTTGACAGACATGGCTAATAAACCA